TTCGAAGGACTCTGAAGGTCGGACGCCGCTATCGTGGGCTGCGGGAAGTGGATATATCGAGATTATTAAGCTACTAATCGAAAAGGAAGGCGTCGATATAGATTCTAAAGACTCTAAAGGCCGGACGCCGCTATGGGCAGCTGCAAGAAATGGGAAACTAGAGACCGTTAGGCTATTAATTTATCAGGAAGGTGTTAACTTAGACTCAAAAGACTGTAATGGCCGGACATCGCTATGGTGGGCTGCAGGTAACGGGCACCTTGAGGTTGTTAAGCTACTAGTTAAGCAGGAAGGTGTGGATATAAACTCTATAGACTCTAGTGGTCGAACCCCGCTATCTTGGGCAGTAGAGAATAGGCATCAAAGGGTCGTTGAGTGGCTAAGGGCAAACTTAACATTTAAATCTATTACGTAAACAATACGCCTAACTATTCTAAGATTTAGAGTAATATAAGTTAACTCGTTAGAGTCTAACCTCCTTCCCTTTTCTCTATTAAATACTATATAATTTCTCGCTTCTAGTAGGTATAGGTTTTCTTTATTAAGTCTTAGAACTAAACGTTCCTAAGGTGTTTTAGTTATTAGAAACTATATAGTATTCTAAATACTATTAGGAGAAGCGAAATAGTATAACGTTCTTAAACTAATACTAAGAATTAATAATCTTAGTAGTATTAGAGAGATTTAGTCTCTCTAATACTATATTTATATCTAGAGTATCTTGTTATCTATTGCTTATAAGACTAAATATTTAAAGAATAGTTTATTCGCTTAACTATTTCTAGATAAAAGGATAAAATTTACTTTAAAGAGTTTAGTATAATATTATTAACCTCGCCTATAGTATTTAGATAAAGGTAGTAAAGCGACTAGTAGTATAAGAACTAAGTATACCGGTTACTATAATACTAAGAAGACCTCTATATACTAGATCGTAGAGACTTCTAATAAATAGCGATAATATAACCGTATCTAAATAGTCTATACTACGCCGAGATATAGAGAAATCTTTAACCTTATAAATAACTATTAATATACTCTTCTCTAAACGGCCGCTTAGCCTAGAAATTTAAATAAATCTATAAAGAATCTAAAGAACTTAAAACAGAGGCCTAGTTAGTAGATATATAGTCTAGATCTAATGACATTTTTGTTATACGTTATTAAAGAATAGTACCTACTAAATATAAGATTAAAACTTAAGCTATTGTCTAAGAACGATACAATGTCTTATAAGCGCGTATCGCGGGCGAATAAGAGGGATTCCACGGTAACTTCCTACATCTGTTCTCTTTTAAAGAGTTTACTTTAAAAGTGGAGCCTGTGGACCAACAAGTGAAACAAGTGAAGACAGACGCTTGTAAGCAGACAGAGTACATAAGTAAGTCTATGTGGTATGAGTTCTGTTCAACAAGAAGTATGCGATGTTATTGCCGTACCGTGGAAGGCAAGCCAAATCAGACCTGGGGATGCGGCGGCGAAGCCGTTGACAGAGCTAAAAAGTCGACTTTGCGCAGGTAATGAAGGCTAGTAGGAGGTAAACGAGCTATATAAAGACAATTGACACTGAAGTATCGGTTGAGCCTTTGCGATTCGAGCTTTTCAAGCAAGTGCTCGGAGGTGCATTGCGGTGTTTACGGTTACGGCTTCATGTCGAAGCGAAAGTCAACACTCGTTTATGGAAGGCCAATACCCGAGCAAACTTGTGCTAAAGGCTCCCAGCCATTCTTCTCGTCTCGATGCCAACTTGACGACAGGGGTTGGTAGCATTGTGCTCAACCAGCCTCACTTCCTCGCAGCTTACAATAGTGTATTTTTTTCTAATTCTGGATTGTTCCGGGCAACATGCTCATAATTGTCCATTTTCGGAGCTATAGAGTAGTACGCACAATGATACGCAAGAATGGCAAGCGATCGAGTGACTAAACTCCGAAATAGCAAGCCTTTGAACTTATTATTCTTCTTGCTCTTAAATTCAATGCAGTCCCATGTCCTGGACGAAGAACCTTCCACGAAAATTAGACTGACTGGTTGAAGCCCTTTCGGACCGGCTACGGATCTAGCGGTGTCAAATTAAGAAGGTTCTAAACAATCGACTCGAGTTTGGTGGGTTTATGCTTGATCTGTTGGTCGTTTGCTTAATTAGGTACTTCTACATACAAGCTTCAATTCATGTTTCTCAGCGCTTGGAGTCCACGGTTTAAAGTACAACTGATAGTAGAAACACTCTATAATTTGGCTGAAGTGGACACATTATCAAGTAATTCCTCAAATTCTTGATGTCAGGAGAACCTCGCTTAGCTCACCTAGGGTATCCGATAACATCAAACATGATAATCTATGGGCTTTGCACTGTGACTTACTCTGCCCACCGCGAACCAGTATCATATACATAGAGAAATACAGCTCTTTCAACGCTCAAGATGTACTGTATAGAAATGGGAAAGATGTAGGGGTGGAGACGTCACCAATTTCTCGTGGTACGCAGACCACAAGTAGCATTGAAACAAAGAGAAAGTTTTATCTATTTATTGCTGTCTATGGTGTTGAATCTTATTTTATCTTCCGTCCAGAGTTCCAAAGCGCCATCTGCCAATGAAACCGTAAATAATTCAAATAGTCACTGTGACAACTATCACTTGCAATCAACTCAGGACCCTCTGCCCAGCATCTTCTAATCTGATATGCCAATTTTGAAATTGAAACTCTGGGTATCTTGCAAACTCCACCGTGCCGTTGATTGATTGGCATAAACCGCTATGCAAGTATCTGCGACCTTCAACCAATGCGTCCAGATTCCCCTCCATCTAGCACTCTCTGACCACAGTTGCCCCTATCACAGCTTTCCAATATAGATCAGAGCTCTTGTTCGTTAACCGCCGGTTCGTCGCCAAAACTATCAATGCCAGATGCGGTGTCGGGTCCAATTTTATTGTGTGGTTGCACAGGCAAAGCAAACTCGGGGTGAGAAGCCATACTGGCAATGTGATTCTGAAATATGTAGCTCTGGGTACTAGCGCTCGCAGATTCGGAATGATCGAACGGGGAAGGGGCTGGCATAGTAGCGGGATAAGAACGAAGCCCATACCTCATTTGACTAGTGCTGGCGGAATCAAACTTAGGAGTAGTTGGTGTGTTATCAGCGAATGAGCCCATCGTATACATGTCGGCACCGGTGCTCGCGCTTCCTGCAGTCATTGATCGCATTCGTTCCTTTGCAGTTCTTCTCTCCTTCTCCAGCTCTACATAGCCTTCCGGAAGTCCTTTCACCGCTCGAGGTCTCGTAGATCCAACTCTCGTCATTCCTCCACGGAGATCCAGGAGGGCCATGTGCTCATCTACCGTAAGTCTCAATGTGCGTTGTTTTGTGGATCCGATGGCGAACTGTCGCTTGTAGCTGGGTCTAATTTGAACCATTTCCGATTCGAGGATGTTTACGCGCTTGTAAGTATTAGGGACCGGTCTGTTCGGGCTGGCGGGGGAGTGATCGAGGGTAGCAGCTTCACTGGAGGCTTTGCGGGGCGTAGAGAACGCTGAAGGTACAGTCGCTAGACCGTGATCGGTGTATTCGTGAGCTTCACTGGCTTCATCTGCTCTGTAGAGCGGTTCACGACTGCTTTCCACGTTGTTTAGGTTATTCGTGAAGACCTGTGAGAAGGCGTCTGGATACCGCGGGTATGGTGAGTGCCCATACGGCAGAAGATCCTGTCGTCCATTGCCCTCGCCCTCCCAACCATTGTTACCTGTTCGCATTTGATCTGTGATCGCCAGAGATTGCTCCTCTCGGGTTATATCCTCTCTAATCTGAGGGTTGCTGTATTGATAAGTGTACGGCGAAAGGTAGGGATTTGATGTGAAGAGGCTGCGCGATTCGAGCGGTCTATTCAAGCTGGACTGATCCTGCTGTCCCGTCATCGGAGTCTGATCCTTCTTCTCTAGGCCCTGCTGAAGATACGCCGGTGAGTTTGCTAGAAAGAACATCTGAGGCCAGGTTGATCGAGGTGTACCGTTGAACGAGCTTCGGTCATACCCCTCTGGGAACAGAGAAAGATCTTGCTGGCCTCTTTGATTCTCCTCCTTAAGATACTCTTGCAGAACGGTTGTGGCGGGTTTTTGAGCGTTTGTGGACGCCTCCTGCTCTGCGGGATTGCGCGAATCCATGGTTTGTTCGAGGGTTTCTTGGTATTCGAGCCGGCTGGGTACACCTCCTCTTTTCTTTTGATCCCACCTCACTGTTGTGGAAGATTTTGAGCGCCGAACAAGTGCTGTCGTGCCCGACTTCGAAAGCGTTGTTCTGGAAAGCGTTGTTTTCAATATCAGCTTCGAATCTCGCTTGTTAGAATAGTGAATCACTGGCATTCTGCATAACGCAGCTTGTTTCCTAAGGCAGGGAAATACAACCAAATTGGAAAAGACTCTGGCAAGACCGGCACACGTTTGGATTTGGGTAAGATGACAGTGCAATCTATTCTCGAATAGAAAAGGATTTGAAGTTAACCTCCACGAGTTCTGACCCTGCTAACAAGACTGTTCTCATTAGCTACCAAGCTTTAGCGGCTAGCGGAACTTACTGGGTACTACAATGGTAACCGGTTAACGATTCTACTTTTCTTGTTGGAGTACCATCTTATTTAGTTACATCATTGTTGTACAGCATCTATTATCCAGAAGGTTAATCCTGATACCCAGAAAGGCTACGATGCGTAACTGTTAGCTACAGACACTCTAAGGTCAGAAAATGCTTCTTCAAATATCTGAAGTGCTTGGAATCCTGCCCAAACTAGTATGGAAACAAGAACCACTCTAGAGAAGCCTTGAATTATAATAGTAGTAAAGCATAATTAGGTAACAGGGGATATCGCCTAACACTGAAGAGCGACCTGATCAAGCTACCTTTTTCTAGGAAGAACTTGTGGCAAGAGAATATGTAAGGAAATGAGAAGCTATTCAATGTGACCTATGGGTGGTCTAACCATCTAACACTGCCTCGCGGCGGAGGAAAACAGTCGTCATCTAAACAGAACAGTAATTCGATCACAATGGCACAACTCCTTTCATCTTGATTATTATTGCCTACAACAAAGACAATGAAGACCCTATCTTCAGATTTCGAAAACTAAAGCGCCTACCTATGCTGAAACGTATGCTGTGATCCAGAGTAATCTAAACGCAATTGTACTTGTCTTTCTCGCTAGGATACTGCTAAATCCGAGCATACATCAGAGATGGAACTTCAAGAAGTGAGTGATTTTACATGGCGCAAGATTGTTGGTATTGGTATACCCTTGGTCAAATTGTGATTTAGTTTGTGCATATGGTATTAGTCTGTGTATGGTGCATGTATACGCTCCCAGAAGTATGATTCCTTACTAAAGACTTGCAGACCTCTTACCCCTTTTAAATAAGCGACCTAGAAAAAGGTTTATTATACCTCGATTTATGTGTAGACCCAGCCTATCAACTATGCATAACGTAGCCAGGGCATCAATGCTACGGGCATTCAAAAAGCTGTTCAAGCCCTAATGAATAGAAGTCAAGTCTCTGAAAATTGGCTTTTCCATAATCAGGGACATACAAAGTCGTGCGGCAGATAGATAGTTGATACTTCTGTTCAACCAAGGTGTGGAGGCAATGTGAAAATCTCAACTATCGGCACAAGCGCAATGAACCTAAGGGTTAGTTGCTTAATCAATGAACCCTAAGAAGTGATTTGTCCGGTTTATCGGCCCCCATGAACAATGTGCGGTAAAGTGCGGGACTAGACTACAGTGCTACTCGAAAGCCAACTCCCTGAAGGTGTTGCCGAGTCGATCAAGCATCCGCAGAAAAGCCACAATTCGATCCGTGAACGAAATGACCCTGGGACGCTCTTTTAGGGCTGAGGTAGTAAAATGAGCCGGATACGCCTTTAGCTATCTTCCGCAGGCACGGGAACTTCTCGAGTGTATATTGATACCCAGTCCAGCAGAGTGTTGGGTTCAGTTAACGATGTTCCCTTTCTGAGGCATGTTACTCAGTCCCACGATAAGCGTGAGTCTCTATTAGATTCCCAAGAACATATATCAATCCACCTACAGAGTTCCTGATCAGCTCTCTTGCTCTTCTATCAATGTGACCACGATACAACCGCAATCGAAGGAGGATGCCGCGACAGCCAACATCTGGGTTGCGTGGGTATGGTAAGGGCAGTAGGTAGCCAAATGCCTTGATAAGACTTTAGGATTAATTGAGGTAGCTGGACCAAGTTGTGGTGAGCAGGCGTGCGTAGTGTATATCTCGTTTTAGCAGAGTAGAGGGCCGGTTCTCGGATTATGTAAATGATACATCATTGCTGGGAGAGCTATAGCGCTCTTAAGTTGAGTTTCGTTGCCACGGGCGAACCATCCCTTGAGGATTGAAGAAGGAGTCTCCGTTAACAGAATATAGTTGATCTGCTCAATATTCGTGCACGTGAGTATCAACCTCTGTTAAAAGGGTAGCATCAAAGCTCTGTACAACGATCCAATTAGCAGGGTGCCGCTCAAGAGGAATCTATCTCACAAGGAATCTAACTTGTACTCGCATGCCTCTGTATTATGTCGCCTCCAGAATTGCGTTCCTAAAACCAATGCTTCGCAAACGGCTAGGTGTATTGGAACATTGTCCAAGGATGGGCGACTCGTGATATCCAGGCTCTTCGAAGGCTCGAGTGTACGGAGCGGCAGGCGCGATGCGTCGCGCCGTCAAAGTTGCACCCCACCTATGGAGCTGACGAAATTCGAGTGCTGAAATCAGCTGCAGTGTGGGTGAGCATTTCAAATGGCCTACTATGCAATGCAGTTACTTGAAGAATTTCTGTTGGAGGATATGGTGCAGGAAGCCTGGCGTGTCTCTGAAACAAAAGAAACCCTGGCAGGCGAGCTGCATAATGAAAGAGACCTACTATTGAATGAAGTAGATACTTCTGTTGGCACTGGAAGTAAAACAAAAGGCTATTAATTCAGTAACAAACGACTACAGTGAAGTCAACAAGTTATCTGATATCAGGCTGGTTTTTTTGAAAGGGATGTACGGGTCCACATCGGCGATTGTTCTGAGGATAACCAAGCCAGGTACCCGAGGTGTAGTCGCAGGACGGGAGTTCTCTGCTAACGCCACTCCTAATTTATTTTACATTATTTACAACTTCCAGTCACAACGTTCTAACTCCCTTCCTTTCCACCACAACTATCCCACCACACATGAAGATACCATGCATTTTCTTCTTCTAGCACATCGAGGCATGGAATAGCCATCATGCTGTTCAACCTAAAGATATGGCCTTGAAGGAAGAAAACCCTGGAACTCCTGGATTCACAAAAGTCGATCGCAGAAGCTCCTCATCCATGGACAAGTCGGTCGCTACAACCCTTCGCGTTGGCCATTCCGATACAAGACTATTGCGAGGACGGCCAGTCGTTCAGAAGGCGAGAACCTCACCACTCACTTCCCCAGTCATGAACTTCCTGTAGCTAACGATTGAGCAGATCGTCTTGACGCGGACCTTCACGAGCACTGGGAATCACCTGATGCCACAATGCACTCGAAAAACTGAACCCGAGGAACAAGAGAGAACAGGTCATTGCCCTGAGATCAGCAAATCGCGCGCCCGTCACTGTCACTGAAAAACCACTTGTGGGCCTACTCAGAGAACACAACGGACAACCACCCTGGAAGACATCCAGCATCTTCATAAGGGACACCAGACGAGGATCCAGGCTTCTAGGTACAGTGGATTGATGATGGAAAGCACGTCTCTGGACGAAAATCTGGCTCAACACCCACCTTACTTAGCGAGAATGCTGCAACATCGAGGGAAGACACTTGGGGCGAAATAGGGAAATCCCCTTGCAAAGCAACATAATCGGGAGGATAATCTTAGGCCGTATGTGTAATGCGCCATCTGCTTGTACCTGGAGAAAATATGGCTCCAGTTGGGTCCACGCGACTCGATTCGGCGTGTCGTACCGCGCCGCTCAAATGCCCACCTCAAGGGTTGGGTTGTGAGGAAGCACTGACCACCTTCCGCGAGTCTCACTCCGGAGTCACGTCACCTCCCGGTGGACAAGATAAGTGGCAGTTTCTTTCTACTACCTACCTAAGGTATCTAGGTGCGTCAAATTGAGCGTAGCAGGTGCTCTTGCCTAGACAGTTCTAGACTAGCCGAAATTCCATATCTACGGCAAGGCAGTTGACAAAATATCAAATATTTCGTCAATTACTTTGCGTAGATATCGTGCCCCGACAAACACTTGTATTGTCCACCGCGAGGTTACTTCTTCCGAGCCTTGCTCAACACCCTATGAAGAGCATGGTTGAGAAGGTTCCTCTGTGCCAATGGCTCTAGCTGATATTCGTTTCAAGGATAGACGTCCAGCATTGATGAGAGTCTGCCAAATGCGGATCCCCACAATTACTCTTGTACGGGTGCAATGTCCAACTGTTATTTGAAAAGGACTGGCCATACTTCGCAACTACGCACTTGCGAGTTCGAGGTCTACTCTTCATCGTATGATGTACACACAGAGCTATTAGTTTGCTTCAAACCACCTGAGGGAGCCTTTCACGGCATTCGAGAGTAACGCAAACTTCGAGAGCCCCGCATTTTGAAGTGTAGAATCTATAAGTGTAGAATCTATACTACAAATATTACAACAAGATGCTTCTATCATTGACGAACCATAGCTAAACTGCTGAGGTACCGCGATGATATCTGTGACGGTCCACAGCAAGTTGGGCTTGTTTTGATTTTCCTTCGGGTTTGGGGAAGTGGCGCCCCTGAAGCGGAACGCGAAACTGCAACATTTGGATTCAAGTTCCAAGAAATCCAGGATCAATGTTTATTTCCATTGTATTTCATCTTCATTTAAAATCCTCTCGAGCTCCGTTCTAAGTAGAACTTTACTTAGCATACGAGACAAAATAGATGTTGTTCTCACCATGCCTTTCTTGGATTCATACTACTCTCACCTTTTGTTGTTTCTTTCCGAGGGCTCTTTGGGATAGGAACGTCGCCTCATTGTCGTTCGAGGAACCCGCGTTGCAATTTGATGTAGCAAGTCGTAATCATTTCCAAAAAGTCACATAGTCCTATGATCTGCCTCCGGGTAGAGTAGAAGCCTCTGTCCCTTCGTTTGAGATTGTGTTAATTTGTTCTTCCCATAGAGAAATTTCTCTTCGAGACGCGCCACAATAGATTCTTGTTTGGAGCAAGCTTTTAGAGTCTGCCACAGATTGCTTTCAAGTCAAACATGTTCAACGAAACTTGACGACCATAACAGCATCACCTGCTGCAGAGCTCAGTAGCCATTGCTCTTCATTCGTTTTCCCTCTCCATTATTTGTTTTCATGCTCGCTAGAATCGCCCTTTGATTTGTCATGTCGTCGTCGATGACCTCGTAGCGGCGATGCTTTGGTCTTCGCCGGGTAGGGCTGCTAGAGGACGCTGCTCCCCATCCCCTTAGGCGTCATTGCTGAGGTTTCTGCTTTATTGTCCTATGTATACAATCCACCACGGAGCATCGTTCGTTTCGTCAGCAGTGAGCTCTGCTGTAGTTGGACAAGGATATGTTCCAAGTCGAGCAGAAGCCCGCTCGTAGGAGCCCACTGCCTTGTCGCCACACGGAATCCTTCGTTGAACATACGCCGGCGGCTGGCGATGGCGCCATGATATATCCTACGAGGATAGGCTCTGAAAACACCATCGCAGACCTGGTCGTGGTCGATCTCGGCATTTAGGTCATCATTTGCTTCTCGACCATGAGAGTGCTTTGTTTTCTATTCGCTATACGCTGGTAAGGGCGTGTGTCTCGAGGTTCATTCATATCGTACTTGGGAAGTTTCGGATGGAGGATGGAAATATGTACCGCGTTTGAGGGAACCTGGTTTCTTGATGGTGTTAGCTTGTTATGCCAACAATCTTCAGCTCTCAAATGGTTCCCCGCGCGACTCTACTTGGGGTCTTGACCTGGCCAAACACCTCTGGCTTCAGTTGAGGTTCTCATTGCATACACAAGTTTTCTAGTCCATTACCGCTCCATCGACACCTTCGCTGACCTACACTGTCTTCTTGGGAGGTGGGCTACTTCTTCGGTACTCCTCAAGGGTATGGATGACAGACTGCTCAGTATACTACGCGTAATGGCATGGGGGCTCTATGCCACGGATGAACTTGTCAACGACGTTCACACGAGCTCTTATTCAACAGCCACAGTCTTCTTCTCTGCTTCAACAATCTTCTACTGAAGGGGGGTAGTACGGTGCCGCTATAGTAGGAGGTGGCTGCCGCTCTCCCATGCGCGACTGCTGCCTTGTATGAAAGGCATCCTCTTGCGCTGGGTACACATTCATTCCATTAAACCACTGTCAAATATTCAAATTCGCTAGCACGGAGGTTCTCATTGGACGTTGCTAGGCCCACAAAGAATAGGTTGGAAATTTTCTATTTTGAAGTATAAATTTACCCTTCGACGCTCAAAATTGTCCTGATCCTTTTTAATCTTACAAACTTTTTTTCCAGTCAGACAACAGCTCACCAAAAACCGTCAAACTGATTCTGCGTACCTTCGCGCAGTATTTAGCTTCAGTCTTTGCATTCTTTCATACACTGCCATCCAAGATCGTTGATAGTGTACCGCTCCGCACGATCTTGTGCTCAGACAAGCTCAAGTAGCCTTCATTTGTCACCAGTACCAAGCAACATCCGTTGGGCCTATCTATCGACAGGTATATCTCACTCTCTCTCACAAATGAAAGCCAAACAACTAACAAACAGAGGTAGCTCAATCATGCCTATGAGCCCGGCCGCCGAGGCTGCTCGTCGCGAGCGCCTGAGTCGAAATGATCTTCGACCATGTTCTCACGAGCATCTGAGATCCTTTATGCGCCTCAGTTGCTTGAGAAATCCCTCCATTCCTCGACGAATTCGAAACCGTTTTCGACGAATTCGAGTTAGAGGAGCGGTATTGCTTTCAAAGGCATATTCACCAGAGGAGTTGCGCGACTTCATTAAAGTTATACTTGCCATGATGACCCAGGATGTTAGGGACACATCCGAGGGTTACAGTAATCTCAATAATGGGGATTATCCTCTCAATATGGAAACAACGGAAGACGCATACGATGTCGAGAGATTAGAAATGGTTTACAATTATCTCAATAAGATCCTTTTCAACAACACCCTTCCTCCGTTCGAAGAGGTTTTTGAGATTTTACCATTAACAAGCCCTGAATACCTCAGTGGGCAACCTCGCTGGGGCGAGCTCTTCCGCCAGACGCTGCATGAATCTCAACATGCCATCGACATAGGCTACACGATCCGTCTATACTGCCACGAAGTCCCTGATGAGGATCCACTGTCCGCAGCAATGCTCACATATGGCCACCTGCTCGACGAGCTTATGCGGCAGATGATCAATTTGTTTGTCCACATGTACGCATGTGAAGAACATAGTTTTACTCGTAACGGTGTTGTTCATCATGGCAGAAACGCTCGCACACAACTCTACCGTGCCATTGGGAGAACTATCGAGAATGAGCCTGACAACCAATTGTTCGAGACCTACCTTCCAAGTATCCTTGGGAGACCACCCGTACCTTGAGTGTCATGAGATAGTCTCGGACTTCATATCGTTTGGTGTTGAAGGGGATGATGATTAAGAGCACAGGTCTCATGAAAAGGGACATCTTCTTCCACGGGAGAATGTTGTCCAGGCGTTCACTGGTTTTACAGGGTGGATTCATTTGGACTGTAGCATTCTTTGGTCTCTATATTTGGTGGTTTTGCAGGGTGGATTCATTTGGCTCGTAGTATTTTTCTGGTCTTTCTAGTTGTTTGGTGGTTTTCAGGGTGGATTCATTTGGTTCGTAGCGTTTTCTGGTCTGTACGTTTGGTGGTTTAGTGGTTGCACGAAGGAAATTATGGAAAATAGAGATAGCTTGTTAGATTAATGTACTGTTTTACATCCGAAAGTTACCGTCGTGAGGCATCAGGTCAATACACACATCTGACTGAAGCTTGTTTATCACGTGTGACCGATTTCTGGGAGGATAAATCAAGTTACATTCCGACCTAAATACAATTATAAGATGATTAAAAATCAGAACGAATGTGCTTCCCCTACTTAGGAGGCCAATTAAAACACCTGATGACTGGGAATTATCATCCATTAACTAAATATATAAAGACATATAGTATCAAGTAGCAGATACATTCTAGTCTTTGGCGATTTTAATGCGTCCCCATTAAGAAGGGTCGTTGTTCTCGACGCGTGACTTGACACGTGACTTTATATAGGCCCCTGACGCTTGGACCAAGTGGACCCCTTTTCATTCACAAGAATCTGTCGCCAACTTCGTAGATCCACAATTGTTTCCTCACTTCAACGTCCGCTGCAGTCCGTTTGATGGCTATTGGCCGTTACTACTCCTACACAGCTATCTGGCGGCTCCGAAAAGGACGTAAACAAAGCTTTTTGCACATTTGAATTCACACATGGCTTTCACGTGCACTTTCAGCGCACCGTCTGTCCCGGAGCCCATGATCAGGCCACTTTCAGAGTCAGGAGATGTGGGCAAAGGTTCAGTAGATTCACCATGGTTGCGTGTTCCCATCACCCCATATTCTCAGCTTTCTGCCAACTACTCGAGTGCTCGAGTGCGTGTTGAGGTAGAGCCAAATAAGTGGCCTGATGGGTGCATGTCTGGAAATCCATTATGCTGCGTCTCCAGACGAGTCTGCAGTGAATTTCAACCACTGATACCTACCCGTTTTACACTCCAACCCTGGAAGTCGCCTGCGGATGCTGAGTGAGCTGCCGTTAAACTTGTTATTATTGCAGGTACCGTTCTTTGGGTGCTACGTACCGTTCGTAGAGGTAGCTTTAGTTGCTCGTGTTGCTCTTGGTAACTTTGTCTATAAGTCAACCGCCATCTCACTTTGATCCCGTCTGGACTATTCCACTCTGCCACCGAAACATTCATCACCAAAGTCACGATCTCGCTGCTGCTTCATTTTGACTTTATATGCTCCGTTCCTTCCCCCTCGTCTGAAGATCTTTCTAAGAACTGCGACAGAGCGGAATCTCTCGCAAGCCAGCAAAATGGCGCCTCCTCCGGAAGAAGTGGCCGTCGAAAGCATTTCATCGTATGGTGTAGCTCGATCAACTGTAGCAGGAGAACCTCTCAATGCTGAGGATCTCCGCAAAATCGATGCCTACTTCAGAGCAAGCATGTACCTCTGCTTGGGCATGCTCTACCTTCGGGAAAACCCCCTTCTAAAACAACCGCTCACTAAAGAGCATCTGAAAGCACGATTACTAGGTCACTGGGGATCTGATGCTGGCCAAGCTTTCACATGGATGCATTTCAATCGCCTAATCAAGAAATATGAGCTGGATGCTCTCTTCATATCCGGTCCGGGCCATGGAGCTCCAGCGATACTTTCCCAATCCTACATGGAGGGAGTCTATTCAGAAGTCTATCCAGACAAGTCAGAAGACGAAGATGGAATGAAGCGTTTCTTCAAACAGTTTTCTTTTCCGGGTGGAATAGGAAGTCACGCAACACCGGAGACACCAGGCAGTATCCACGAGGGAGGCGAGCTTGGGTACTCCATTTCTCACGCGTTCGGATCAGTTTTCGACCACCCGAACTTGATCAGTCTTACTATGGTTGGAGATGGTGAGGCGGAGACTGGCCCGCTAGCTACCAGCTGGCACAGTACGAAATTTCTCAATCCGATTACTGATGGTGCTGTTCTACCGGTATTGCATCTTAATGGTTACAAAATCAACAACCCTACAATTCTAGCACGGATTAGCCACACTGAGCTCGAGGCTCTTTTTATCGGCTACGGATGGACACCATATTTCGTTGAAGGAAGTGATATGCCAAGTATGCACCAAGCTATGGCTGCCACGCTTGAGAAGTGTGTCCTAGAAATTCGTGCCATTCAGAAGCAAGCTCGTGACTCGAAGAAGGCATTCCGTCCACGTTGGCCAATGATTATTCTTCGTAGTCCCAAGGGCTGGAGCGCTCCAAGAAAGGTCGATGGGCAACATCTTGAAGGCTTTTGGCGCGCACATCAAATCCCGCTGCCTGGTGTGGCATCAAACCCGGAACATCTACAAATTCTTGAGAAATGGATGCGCAGCTACAGGCCGGAGGAGCTTTTTGATAAACAGGGAAAGCTCATACCCGAACTCAAGGAGCTTGCCCCAGTTGGCAATGCACGTATGAGTGCCAATCCTGTCGGAAACGGTGGGCTACTCCGCAAGCCTTTGAATATGCCAGATTTCCGAAAATACGCTCTTGCCGATATCGTACCTGGTGTATCCAACCTCCCTAGCATGAGCAATATGGCTGGCTTTCTTCGAGATATCGTTGCCAAAAATATGACAAATTTCCGTGTCTTTGGTCCCGATGAGACAGAATCTAACAAACTTGGCAAAGTATACGAGGCAGGAAAGAAGGTTTGGATGGGCGAGTATTTCGAGGAAGATACCGATGGCGGAAATTTGGCAATGGAAGGTCGGGTTATGGAAATGCTCAGCGAACATACTTGTGAAGGTTGGATGGAGGGCTATATCCTCTCTGGACGACATGGCATTCTCAACAGCTACGAGCCGTTCATTCACGTCATCGACTCTATGGTCAATCAGGTAAGTGAATGTTTATGCTCATTCGCGAACCAAATATATGCCGACCTTCCATTCACTAACTCGGAATAGCACTGTAAATGGATCGAGAAATGTTTGGAGGTTCCTTGGAGAGTGCAAACCGCATCTCTCAACATTCTGCTTACTGCTACGGTATGGAGACAAGACCACAATGGTTTCACCCATCAAGATCCCGGCTTTCTCGACGTTGTTGCCAATAAGAGCCCCGAAGTCGTACGAATTTATCTACCGCCAGATGGTAACTGCCTCTTGTCCGTTACAGCACACTGTCTCTCTTCAGTCAACTATGTCAACGTCATCGTAGCCGACAAGCAAGATCACTTGCAATTCCTCGGGATGGATGAAGCCATCGAGCACTGCACCAAAGGCCTCGGAATCTGGAACTGGGCATCAAACGACCAAGGCGAAGATCCCGACGTCGTAATGGCGACCTGCGGTGACGTCCCAACCCACGAATCCCTCGCCGCCACCGCGCTCCTCCGCGAATTAGTCCCAAGCCTCAAAGTCCGCTTCGTCAACGTCGTCGACCTCTTCAAGCTCATCGACCACGAAGACCATCCCCACGGCATCACGGACCGCGAGTGGACCGCCATATTCACCGACAACCGGCCCGTCATCTTCAACTTCCACTCCTACCCATGGCTCATCCACCGTCTCACCTACAAGCGGCCCGGCCAGAAGAACATCCACGTGCGCGGCTACAAGGAGAAGGGAAATATCGACACGCCGCTTGAGCTGGCTATTCGCAATCAAACGGATCGGTTCAGTCTGGCGATGGATGCGATTGATCGTTGTCCGTCGCTGGGGAATAATGCGAGTTGGGCGAGGGAGCAGTTGTTGAATATGCAGATTAAAGCGAAGATTGAGGCTTTTGAGAATGGCATTGATCCGGAGAATATTCGTAAATGGGTCTGGCCGTATTCGAAGACTGCTTAAATTCTCCTATGAAGTTGAGTGTCGTAGGCATGTTGGAGTGTTTCGTCGGAGGATGGGATGGAAAGAGGGTGCGGGAGAGCTTCACGTTAGCTGCTATGAGTGGTCGTTGACAGACGTTGAAGGAACCGGCTGTGGATAGATTTCCTGGACCAATCTTCCAGAGAGTTCATGACGTTTGAGAACTGATAAGGAAATACAGAATACATCGAATAAGAATTAAATAGAAGTAAATCCGAGGAATTAAGAGACGTCTTCTGACTTTGTCAATCTGTGATTTTAGGTCTTCATCTTCTCCACATCACAAGTCCTTTTCACCAATTCCATTCTATACGGAAACTAACATGGCAAACTGAACCCGAATATCTCACTACTTCCAGGGTGTCATTGAAAAGTCTATTCGTCTGTCACCGAACTGGATAGCCAGCTTTTAACTCAAGTAATAGATTCACAACATAGACCGTTTTTTCATGTATTCATGTAAACAAACATACCACTCCACCAAGTATGATAAGAGCAGCACGTCTTACGCTAACAGGTTTATATACCTCGAGGCTGCTGACTATACCTTGGACGGGTTTACCATCACTGTACCTGAAGAGCAGTAGTTTCGTCAATTTAAAGTAGTATATTTATGGTGTCCGTGGTATCGAGTTTTGAAGATCTTGGTTATTTTTTTCATCGGAGTTCGCCTATTGAATAGGGGGAACCGGGCCGTCTGGTGCGTCGTAGGGCTGGGTGAAATATGCACGAGGAGCGAGTTTGCAGCTGGGATTAAAGCATTACGTTGACCGGAACTTGAATGTAAAGGTCTGCTGCTAGTACTGCAAAGTTCAAGATACAAGACCAACAAACACTCCCCACCGGGGCAACTACAAATGCTAAGTAATCTACCCGGAAAGACACAGGCACCTGGGCAGATGACGCTAAAATAATTATATTCTTGAATCAGGTCTTCCTACCAATACAACAAACAACCTATCTAATAACATTCTCCCTCAACCCACTAGTCCTCAAACTCCTCACCTCCACCCCACCCAACCCACTCTCAGCACCCCCAAACATCCCACCCACGGCACCTCCACCGCCCCCACCCCCATTACCATTACCCATCCCCTTCAACCCCAACGCCGCCCCTAAGCCTCCTCCGCCCTTCCTCTTCTCCACCCCCGCACTTTCCAACGCCAGGCGTACTTGATCCCCCACCCCATTACCCACGCCGCTGTCACCACTACCTCTCCTACTACTAGCACTCCCCTGATCCCAACTCTTGCCCACCGACAGCAAACCTTTCACGCCACCAGCTTTTCTGGTGGGGAGATCGCTAGTACCTGCGCTACAGACGTAGAGGAGGTACTTGAGATTCGGTAAGGTCTGTCGGATATCCAGAACCTTCAGACCTTGAGATTCAGCTAGTCGTTCAATGTTTTTATTGAGAAGAAAAACGCCGTATTCGAAGCGGAAGCGTAGAGTGTGTTTACTGTACAACGGAAATGTGCGCTGGTTATCTTGGAGAATGGAGATGAAGTCTTTGATTATGGATCGAGAGCCGTAGGCGGTGATCGGATATGGTAGTGGCACATTGAGGTAGTACTGTAACATGTCGACTATTCGTGCAACGTAGCCTAACGCTGCGGAAACGTGATCTTCGTCTGCATCATCGAATTGCGAATTTGGCAAAGGAATTCCGCAGATGGTAAATAGAAGAGGTGAAGTGGTCGGTTCAATAGGAAATATGTTGAGAAGTTCCTCGCATATCCGCCGCCGTTGCTGGTGAATGTCGGTGGTAGTATTGCCAACCATAATCCGGCACTCGCTGAGTTTCTCTTGGGCATTATTGATATCCATTAGAGCTCGTGCTTGTATCTCTTCTCCAGATTTGATAGCATTTCTCCGCGCTATAATCGAGGTGGATAATTCGTTACGCTTTCGAATTGACTGTTTAAGCAATTTCCGTTCTGCATTAAGATATTTGTTTGCCAAACTTGCTTCCTCTCTCGCTTGGGGCGATTCGTCATTTGGCCTGTCCTTTAGAACCGCATTAATCTGGTTCAACAGCTCCTCTCTCGTAGCAAGAGCATCTTGTATCGATTCATCCAAGTTCAGAAGCCTCATAAGAGCACTGTATGAACTAGTTGGGACTTCTGGCGCAGGTTTCGGTTTTGGTGGCTTCGATGCCATATCCATAGTATAAATGCCATCTACCAATTGGAACACAATGGTGTTTTCTTTGAAAGGGTGATTTTCCAGCGTCCCGATAAATTGTAACGTCGAAAGATTGACCTCTTCTTCGAGTAAGAGCACGAAATCCTGCCGTTTTACCCAAATCCGCACTATCACTGTATCCTGCCTCGTAGTCGAGGGTCCCAAAACTGACAAATCAAAGGATCGAAAGGTCGGATTCATAGCCTTTTCGATCACCTCGCTGATATATATTGGATCCTCCTGCCCGGAACAATGCAGGGTGAAGAACGTATCGGCCATCCGACTGTCTATAACATCTTCCAGTGTTTTCTGGCGCGACCCGGGGCTCGCACCTACCCAATTCGAGCTGCTTCGGCGCGGCTTGGGTGGCCGTCGCAGACTTCCTGAGGAGGCCGCATGATGAAGGGCAGGTTCCCGGAGAGCTTGCAGCTTTTGGGGGGTCTTGTTGATGGCGGCATCGTCAATTGTATGGCCGCGCGGCCGTGTGAGGGCAAGATTTCGAAAGTATATGCCTTGGAGATGTCGAATCTTTCGGTTTGTCGGAAGTAGGAGAGGTCGCGATGGTTCGGCGACCATTGTGAGGGAATGGGGTTGGCATGGAGGTGGTGTAGATGTTCTGCGGGAGGAGAGGTCCGAGGTTGGCGAAATTAAGCCGACAGGGCTGATCAACTTGAGGATAACCAATAGGGGAAGCACAATAATTATTTATACTACAAAGATCTCCTCCACAAAAGTTACAAGAGTTTTATTTCTCACAATCAAGAGAGGCACCTTTTTCTTTTGACATTACGACTTAATCTGTTATCTCCTTGATCAGGTTTTATATTGGACTCACTGTAATACAAGAACGAAATCCATACAGCAATGACGTAGTGAGTTAGTTTATCGTCATGAAAATCAGCAACTCAAGATTTCCCGCCAGGCTTGAAACCAAATACCATAAACGATGAGGCTCGCATACTGTGACTTACAACACTAAGTCTACTACCTGGAACAATTCGCAGACAATCCCGTATGGACAACCTCGATATGTGTAACCAGTAGCATCACAAATCCACTCCTCCCTGTATCATTTTTTTGGAACCTTTGGTTTGATCACATCCGGCGCAAAATGATGCACCAACACCTTATTCTCCACATCTCGATTGAAAGCGTATCCCTTACTCCAATCGTAACCTACGGCATAAGCCCATCTCGACCCATTGCTGTTGAAAGCTGTTGCTGTAATCGGGCCTCCAACCGAGGGGCTAGCTTTCAGACGGCTTTTGGACGCCATATCCCATATGTTAAACATTCCATCCGAGCCTGCTGTAGCGAAAACCGCCTCATGGATCGGGTGAGGGGAGACGTCGTTTACGGCGTAGACATTAGTAGTAGACCTGTATGTTTTCGCATCCTCGCGTCGGTGACATCTGAATGAGAAGCATTTGCTGAGGCTGTTAGCGGGAAATGAGATGGAGTTGAATTACTTACGACGCCTCCGAGGGTGAAACCGCCTGATAGGTTACCCTGCCATCGATACCTCCGACCACAAATGCTTTGGCGTCGCGCGAACAGGCTACCACTCTAGTTTGGTACTTGAGAGGAGAGTCCCGGGTTTCTGCTATGAATCCAGGATTTTTGAGGTCGATGATATGAAGATCTTGTGAGGCAGTGCCGACAACAAGTACATCTTTGTTGACGTCCATTGAGTATACTCTTTCCTTGCAGTCAACAGTTGCAACCGCCGCAGCCGTTCTCAAGTCCCAATACTTGATGGTTCTGTCCCAGGACCCAGTGACTATCATAGGAGCATTGCTATTTGGAGCCTCAAAGAATCTCACGCTTTTGATTGGCATTTCATCTGGATTAAGTTAGTATATGTAATTTTCCTCGTTGGCTCGTTCCAGAGCTGAGAGCGGCGTCAAGGAATGCAATCCTCTCCCAGTCACTTCACATAGAAGCCAGAAAGAGACGACCAAGGGAAAGAATTCTTACGGGCAGCGACTTGTTGAGCTGGTGCTCCTGTCATACCAAGATCCAGAAGTCTGGCTGTTTTATCCGCACCTGCGCCAGCAATCTTTGATCCGTCCTAAAATTGATTAGTCGTTGCGAGCACAGAAAACCCAATGGATACAAGTGCGACTTACCACTGACCAGTCACAGCTTAATACAGGACCATCAAAATCGATCATCGCTCGCCCTTCGCCTGTTGCTACCGACGTCATATCGTATATCCTCACCTTGTGATCCCATGAGCCTACCCCAAGATAGTCTGCTTTTGACGACCATGACAAAGATGAAATTGTGTCTCCTGGGGGTGAAGCTAAGGTCGCGTCTTTGCTTAGATCTAGGCCTAATATATCATTCGAATGCCCAAAACCGGACATATTGGAGATAGAGAAGAGATGAAATGGTGGTTTGCGCGGATGGACGATATGAATTTATGTGGTTGGAAAATAAACATGACTTACTGGGATAGGCAACCTTTTAAGGGAAGGATATTGGTGAAGGGGAGATCGGTGAACCGAATATGACCCAGAACCACGCTCTGCTTCATGGTGAATTATTATCTCGGATTCGTGGTGAATTTTCAAAGGAATCCGAGAGCCGACAAGGGATGAAGCACCACTAGCGCAGGCACCTGAAAGCTTTGGCCAGCTCAAACACATGTATGCGCAAACAATGATTAGCACATAATGAACGTAGCCAATAATTACCTACTAAGGTAAGCAGCTTTCTCACGCGTCTTTATAGTATACGCAACTTGAAGGTGTCTTGCAGTGGACAAAATAAATAGCGGAACCACCTTACTATTCTACAAACTTAAAGTGTATGTTAGATCAGTCAAGCAGCTTGACAAAATAAATAGCAGAACCACCTTACTATTCTAGAAACTTTAAAGTATATGTTAGATCGGTCAAGTAGCTTGAATAGGAACTTGGTCTTAAACATAATTGACAACGTTATGATTACTTTTGAATAGTTGACGAAATATCGTAATTGCGTCAACTGCTCTGAGCATATATCGTGCTTCGACTGCCACTTCTTGTCCGCCGCGGGGGTGTATCAAAATCGCAAGTGCTAATCAACACCAGAAAGGGCCATAGAATATGAATTAAACCTTTGGCTGTCGCGACTCCACCAGATGTAATATATTGGAGACTTTTTACCCCACGGTAGTTCATGATATTGAATAAGAGCAACGTGTTGTTGCTGTGGGTAGAGTGGCATAGTGGGTTGAGTTTGGTAATTTGCATGACTTTTCACGTGAAGAACGTTATGAGACCGAGATGTATTTGCGCCGAAAATTGTGTGTTGAGTATCTCTGCTTCTTTTAAAGCGATGATATATATATCAAGCGTACGGTTTTTGGCGAATGTTGACGCCTTGTACGACTTTTAGCCATATCTGAACCGAGCAGTGTGAAATATTATCCACTACCAACTACCACTCTGGCATTCATCCCATGAGGTGTGTATTATGCTGAAATTCAATGCTGTCTATGTTGAATGCCGAAATAAACCCAACGCCAACGAAATCGCTTTATTATGGTTCCCAACACAGGAACTAATTTGGAGTAACTTTGAAATCATCCCTCAGCAACGTGTGAACAGGTGCATTCAGTTTGTCTCTGCCTTTCAAGAAATCGATTTCGAGTATAAAGAGATATCCAAGGAGACTTCCGCCCAACTTCTCGACGAGTTGTCCGGCAGCAGCCGCAGATCCACCTAGAAAGGTATTAGAAGCTATTTTCCCTATGTTGAGGCGAGACTACATACCGGTTGCGATAATATCATCTACCACCAATACTGACTGGCCCTTTTTGATAGCATCACTTTGGATTTGGAAGCCATCAGCGCCATATTCCTTATCAAACTTTGCTTCGTGTGTTGGCCCGGGCAGCTTTCCACGCTTCCTCACAGGTGCGAATCCAGCTCCCAAACGCAAGGCTAGACTGGGTCCGAAGAGAAAGCCCCTCGCATCAAGACCAACGATAACGTCAGGCTTGATCCCGTTGTTATCGGCGAGGACTTGGAGCTCAAGCGCCCGAACAAGTTTCGTATGAAGCGCATGGTCTGCGAAGAGGGGTAGAATATCGATAAAGTCGATGCCAGGAATAGGGAAGTCCGGAAACTGTCTCAAGGCGGCACGGAGGCTTATCTTTGTACTGGCGAGTTCGGAGGCACTGGCGGAAGAGGAGGAGGGCTCGGGCTGGCGTCTCGAGGAGGCATTTTCGGGCGATGTTGGGTCGTCCACGGTAGTGACAGGTTGGGTTTGGCCGGGCGCGGTCATCGTGAAGAAGAAAGAAGAGAGAGGGAGGGAGGAGGAACTCGGGAGGATAGGTGAGGTGATAGTGGTGGTAAGATGCAGATAAAAAAAATATCCTGGTTGACCGCCGTGGATTGGCCGGAGGGGTACAGGTGGGCATATAATTGGGGGTGTCAATAGCAGGCAGGGGGACAAGGAGGGACGAGCACGGCAGCAGAGAGGAGAGCAGAGCCACGGCAGAGATGAGGAGCGGACAATCGAATGACACATGAATCACCCAAGCGCCTGGATTGATAATTGTACAATTCCGTGAATGGGAAACGACTTTACTCAGCTCGTCTTGCCGCCGAGAACGCACCTGGAGACGTAGAGCCAAACGATATGCTGGATGCAGACGGCAATGCGGTCAAGCTGGGTCGAGAAGCTCAGAAGCAGCGGATGTTGCAGGAGTAATGCAGCCACAGACGATGGAGGGGCAGTCTTGTTGGCGTTTGTGGTGGGGTGGGCAAGCGTAGAAAGATATGGGTGGATTGGAACAGCTCCATCGTAATGAGAAAGAGGTGGGAAGCAGGAGGCGAGGGAAGCGAAATATATTCTTTCGAGAAGATGAAGGCAAGCCACCACCAACCGGAAGACTACCAGCACATTTTGTGCTTCTGCACAGCTAGATGGATGGGGAGCCAGACATAATCCCACCTTGGTCGATGGCCTCTGTCGTTCAAACCTGTCTGGCTATGAAGACTCGAGCGAGCTGCCATGTATCGAGGTCACTTATCATGTTGACCATAGGCCACCACCGTAAGCACAATCATGCTCGCTTCCCAGCAGTACAGGTACCACCTTGTTTAGGTCTAGAGGCACAATAGCTTTGTTCTAAAGTATCCGCATAGCCTTACGATTTAGCCTCGATTTAGGTGACTACGGATGTGACTAGGCGTAGACTTCTCCGATAGGGAGCACGGCTCGTGGAGGACAAAATAAGTGGCAGTCGAAACACAATATTTCTTCGATTAAGTTGACGACATTTCGTATATTTAGTGGTTTGATTTAGAACATTATTACTATTCCGTCAATTATTTTAAGTAAGCGAGGTTTTTTAAGCTCGATTCGACTTATTCTTCAGCCTAAGATTAGTGGTTAGGTGACTGACACTTATTTTGTCCTCCGCGAGCACGGCTCTAACCACACTTTTTCATCAAGGGAGAACCTGTGAACCCGTCTTCCTCGACGCTCAACGCTTTCTTACTTCGAAGTAGAACAATTATCTGGTCAGACCCCCAACCTCGCTCTGACAATCATCAACATCAGTTCACAGCACACAACCGGCGCCGTCCCACCTTTACAAGATATCACAAATTTATTACGATGACACAATGTTTCACTCACCATTTCATCCATCCGGCCTCCACCTCTCCCCGGTTTCTGGTCCACGTCCATGCAGCCGACAGCTCCACTGCATCAGAACGCTGCAAGAAGCTCTTGTACTTTCCGACTCGAGGGGTTTCCAGCGCAAAGCCAGAAGGAAAATTCATTGAGCCGGAGGGTTATGGAACTTCCACCACCAATAGCAGTCTCCATCATGCTCATGCCCAGCTTCGAGTCTACTCCTGCGTCAATTAATTGACCACCACCAACCATCAGCTTCCAACATTCAATCAACCGCCCCACGCTGTTTCTCATTCTTGTGGCTAGACCGCCATCCACCAGGCCCGATTAAAAAGGACTCTCATAACGTCTTCACATGTGTTGCCTCTCTTGCGGCATGCGAATGGCCTGCCTCATATGGATGATAAGACATACGATATTTACAACCCGAGGATGCGTGAGGACATACTTGCACTCTGGGCAATCCACGTGTTGATAGCTACTTTCAAGTTGAGGGAGCAATTGCCAGGCTCAAAGTGGTACGGTATACCAGGTACCATGGGTCTGCTGGCGATCGTCGACCACGATCTCTGTACGACGGCAACCTCAAGCAGATCCCAGTCCGGGAAATTCTTATGCTTTGGCCGGATGTGTGCACGACATTCCTGCATCTTAACCGTTATCGATAAGAAAGGAAAGGTTCAAAGTCTTGTATCTTCGTATCGACTCCACGACCGACAATTTTTCTTCTTGACCGCTGGTTCGGGGCACGCATAGGACCGGCACATCAACGGTTAAGCACCTTACCGACAACTCATGAATCAGATACTCCTCGCCAGGGAAGCCTAGGCGGTTGACCTACGAAATACTCTCGTAACTGTACCCAATCTGAAACTACCAGATAATCTATAAGAATGTTACGACTCTGTACCAGTGATTCAGTCACGTGGTCTCACCCAGTTACTTGATCCGCACATACAACAGTTGGACTCAAGAAGTTCAGGATTTATTGGAAAGGTAAGGTTGTCTTGACGTACGCAAACCCTTATGCTTTGTGGTCTTGACTCCGGACTTGTGTGGTGTCTTGCAGTTTGCGAAATTACGAATAACACATACCCCTCTCGAACGACTTTCATGCTTTGCACCCAGTACGGCAACCACAGGGATACTACTGCATACAGCAGTGTGCCAGCGGCAAGTCTCCTTCTGTCGAGAAAGTTTACTGGACCAGAAAGCATTCAGCGCTCTCCACTGCAGTGGGTTGCTACTCAAAGCCCAAGAGATTTTGTTCAATACAATGCAATAATGTCTTCGATGCACCGCCTACATTACCAAGCGGGTGCCCAGACATGGTACGACTCCGGAAGATACCACAATTGTGTTCATTGAATTCCGATTTGTTTTAGAAGATCTGCCCTGCTTTTTTCCGGTCGTTGATCGTGCGAAGGTGTGTTGAGCTTTCAACTATTATCATCTACAAGCGGTTTCGACTCACAATCAAGGCGACAAATGTCTTATGATTCTTCGAAGCAAAGAATGATTAAACAAGAATCTTTCATATGTAAACCACTTGATCACTACATCAAGTGCTGTCAGTTGCTGGTAGTATAAGAACAGTACTCCGCTCTTGATTCAGTCCCCCTCATAGTACGTCAGTTTCCGCACGCCAAGTTGACTGTCCACCGTGTAGCAAATCCGGCAGATATCCCAAATCGAAGGAGGTTTCTCAATGATGTAGGCATTGAACCATCTGCAACAAATATTGATGAAATTCTCAGTCATTGGTAATCTATGCTATTGATGCTTTTGTCTTCTCGTTACCTGCTGAGTAGAGCAACCAGGTTTGGACTGTTCTTCCCAGCCTCCTTCAACTTCATCGACAAGTAGAATCACTAGATCATCAGAGTTCTACTAACAAATAGCCACCTAGGCACCTTTCATCGCTGACTGTAATACCGCACCTCATATTGAGACATCCTCGCGGAGGACAGAATAAGTGTCCGTCACCTGCCTACTACTCTAGACTAGATAAGTCGAATTTGAATAGAACATTACTCAAAATAATTGACAGAATATGTGATATTATTCTAAGTTAATCCATTAAATATGCGATATTTCGTCAACTTATCGAAGAAATGTCGTGTGTCGACACCCACTTGATTCTTTAGACTCGATCCACGTTCATAGCAACGACTCTGATATTTGTCTACTAGGCATCACTTACTCACTCATTTATTGGAAACCCTCTCGCCAGACGGAAAGGCTTCTCGGACACAGGCCTTGGTAGGAGTTTACTAATGTTATCGTTATGTACTAATCCTCTATATATGTAGGGACATCAGGTTTTCGATGTTGGCTTACGCACAAGCCGCAACTATCACTAGCATTACGCTCAATTTCGCACCCTCAACTTATTCTACCGTATCTGCTAGATATCCGAACATATACACATACATAACAATTTTCCAAATATTGTACCTCCCAAATGCGCTTTCCATCGACACCTTGCTCGTATTCAATATGATGGGTCCACGGCCTCGGCTCAAAAGCCACCACCGTCGCCACGTAGAATGAAAGCATCATTACGGAGATGGGATCGGTTGTAGTGATAGAACAGGTTATCAAGCCAACCCTTCCCTGCAAAGCCGTCAGTATCCAACCTCAAAACTCAAATATTGACACTTACCTAGACGTCTCAGATACACCTCGCAAACATCACACAATCGCAACGGACAACTCTTGCACTTTTCTGTAGCCAAGCCAGGACAAACCATACACTGCTTCTGTTTCGGATCCCAGACTACATTCCCAAACCCATCTTTCTCTGGACTCACTTCAATTCTAATAAATTGCGTATGTCTGTGCTTGATAATAGTCAACTTCTCCTCCACACAAGGCCTACAAATCATGACCTTCTTCAAATCAACCTGCGTCCAAGGATTCCCTCGACAAAAGTGTAAACCGTGAAAGGGCTCAATGTCCTGCTTATCAATTTGACTTGTGGTATTATGTGGCGCGGGTTTAGACAATTGGTAAGTCCTCGCGATCTGCTTCAGTCCTTGCTCGATGACGGTTTCCTTCAGTGGTATCCCAGTAGCCGCACAGTGCTCCTTCCAGAAGTCCTTGTAAATGTACGGGGTGTCAGTGAGTGGTGGTTTGCGAAAAGTCGCTTCTCTAAAGTTGTCACAGGAGGCGTAGCAGGTTTCGCAGAATACTCCAGATGCGTCCGCGGGTAAGCACATTTTTGCATTTGATATGCCGTAATTGCAGGCGTACAAACAGAACGAGCAATTCGGCGTCTGAGCTACGAAGACTCCGAATTTCTCAATTTCGAACTCCTGGTCCGCGGCGAGGACTCTGATATGACCCAACGCTAGATCCTGGAACGTAGGTGTGAGCCTGTGAGATCCAGAGAGTTCGCGTCGATGAGTCGCAACGGGTGGTTGAACTGGTTGATCGGTCACAGATTTCGCAAATACTTTCTTCGCAACCTTCAACAGCCGAAGTGATTCCTGCGGATCATCATCATCATTCAGACCCCTCTTCCTCGAAACCACACTCCCCCTCAACACCACCTCAAGATCCCTCTCCCTCTCGTCCATCCTCCTCGCCACGTCAATCTCCCGCACAGTAGGCACATACACGCTCACCTCTTCCTCCAACTCAGGCACCTCATCCACGCCCGACGTACTCTCCCTCGTGCCATTCTTGCTATTCGCACCTTTCTTGCGGATCCGCTTCCTAAGCGGCCCCGTCGGTTCGGTATCCTTCAGAAAGCTCGCCGGGTGCGCGAAGCCGTTTGCTGGAGACCGCGTCGCGACGGTGGGTTCTTGCGAACCGGTCTGCGGAAACGGAGATGGTGCGCGCGAAGATGTCAGACTGGAAACGCCGCTGGTGCTTTCGGGGTAAGTAACGAGTGAAGGGGGTCTTGCGAACATGGCTTGGTGTTCGATTGGGGTGCGGATTCTGGGGATTTGGGGTGGGAGGGGGAGGCTTGTTGGTGGGTTGGTCGCGGGTTGAGGTATAGACGTTTCTGGCGCTGGCTGTGATGGTACGGTGGTATTGGTGGGATGTGGATGAGGTTTCTGAGCGTCGTTTGTGATGTTCTGAAGGACAGGACTTGATGATGGAGTTGGAAGTGACGGATCTGGAAGTGGTGGGTTAGACATTGCTTTGGCTTCGGTGGTGTTCATATCTGATTGCGAAAGCACCTCTTTTCTCAGGTGTGATTAAGAGATCTATGTCGAGTATCAATCTTCCTCTGTTTTGCATTCGATGTCTTTGGATATGTTGTTATGATTTCTGAGTAGACCTCAGAACGCCGTCCGCAATTTTCTCCTGGTGAACTTCCTGGATGGTCGAGCCGACAAGATGGTTTTATGTCTAGTAATAAAGATTGATAAAGTTGAGGATGGAGTCAACGTCTCTCAATTAAGTAGATGGCATTGTCGCAACTTTCAAAAATTCCTGGCCATAAAAATGGATGTGAAAGAATGAAGATGAAGTCCTGGTCCGTATGCGAAGCCATTTGCTGGAAAAGTGAAGCCACACATTCACTTTCGCGCCTGGCACATGGGGCACTGGCCGCTGTTGCATCGCTTGATCTCTTTAATTGAATACATTCGTTGCGGAGTGCTTTGAATATTGTCATTGATCAGTCTTTGTGTGAGAAGTTTTATGGTGAGAAGTGTCTATCATCCTCAAAGATTGAAAAACATTGAAAAAGGCGCGTAATCTCATGATTTCGAGCAGCCGCCGTTTAAGCAAGCAGTCTTATGTGATTTTTGATGAGATTGCTGTAGTCTTTCAGACTGCTCGTGTTGATCAGATCATCGGCGGACGAAATATGATGTTTCTTCAATGTAATCGACGAAATACCGCGTATTTCGTCAATCATTTTCAGTAATGCGATGCTCCTGGCCTCGTAAAATGAGTTGGTAACTGAGATTCCCTACCGGCTTTATTTTCATTCAATTTAGTAGATCATTCAGGGATTTCTCACTATGTCGTCTGCGAGAAAGTGCAGCAAGCGTTTAAATGTGCATGGAGTGCTGAGCATTAAATATAAATGATCGCGTGCATGACCTGATGAGGCTCATAATATTGGTGTAGGCATTCATTTAAGATGGGGACGATTTACGCAAGTCAGGCCAACCCAATGAACGAGACCAGACATCCTCTAAATGAGGCACGTTTGGGAATCAACACCTAAGGAGTATGCAATGTCTGATTTCCATAAACGGCGACAAATTTCACCTAACCTCTGATGTACTTGTTTTCTACACTTATCTCAAAGACGGGCTGTCGCTTGCTCATTTGAGCATTACTTACACCTGCGTGAATTTTCAAACTGAAGAGTATGCTACCTTCAAAGCAGGGGTGGGAAATGAAGCATCATAAGGGTTGACCGAAATGCAACACTGAAGTCTGCGTCAAGTGAAGATAATAAGACGTCGCTAAGATTGTACAAAAGCTATTGTTGGAACGGTGTGTCTCGTGAAGTATTTGGACAGTGAATCTTCAAAGTACTTCTTGCTCCGAAATGAATTCATCTCATGCGGTGCTTAAGGAGTGGGGCAATTTAGTGTATCTTTGAAACGATTTGTTTGTCTTGTTTGCCTAACAAAGACTTCTCCACCATATCTCAAAGAGCCACACTTGAGAGGATTTCTGAAATTAATTTTAAGCAAAGTGTCATTTGACCAAAGATCGTTGAATGCTTGAATCGATCAAGAACCAAAGGTGATGTATATTCTGGCTATCTATTCTCCTCTCATAGTCTCTGACCATAAAGCAAAAATGTCAAATTACCACAACTCATCGTATGTTCAAAAGCTACTTCTTAAATTTAGCAGCAATCTCCTTTTCGCTAAACTTTCGTGTCTTCAATCGTAACATGTCAGCTAACTCTTGTTGAGACATGCCTATCTGCGAACCCATTGGCACGAGTTTCTTCGCCAGATGCATGTAATTCTTGGTGAGAACTCGGTAGGTAATCTCCAGGTAATCGATGTTCTGAAATACTAATGCACCTTCATTCATGTAACGTTCTTTTGCTGACAAGAAAGCGTTTGGGTGATCTCTCCAGTGACGAAGTGGGTTGAGATGATGCGAGGTGTGGTAGCCGTCATTGAAGCAAAATCGGTTGGACTAAGAGAAGATTAGCAGTGCTCGGCGTATGAGGGGCTCTGTGTAGACTTACAGGTACATCAATCAACGTGATACTGGATCGGAAGTCAGAGTTTGGGTCTACATCATCCACGAGCGCATGTTGACCCCAATTACCAATCATCAATCCCAGCCGAAGAATGAAGAATGGTAGAAGCAGCGCAAAGAGAGTCGGTTTGAAGTTCCATCGTGCAAGGAAATACATCGCAGTGTATGAGCCTAGCTCTGTACAAGCGACTCGAAATGCCAAGTTATACTTGTTCTTTGAAATAAAGTACATTGGAAGGTCGAACCAGCAGAGAAACATGAATCGTGCTTCATAGTGTAAAAACGCAAGAATTGAGTCTCGTTGGTATCGAATCGTGGTTGATAGATCATCTGGTCCATTTCCTTCGACGTGATGAGCCTTGACGTGGTGATAGTAGTATGAGTCCCAGGTATGGCCCATGAGCGGTTCCAGAATGTAAGGAAAGGTCCAGTCGAAAGCCGCGTATTTTTTGGCCAGTACTCCGTTGTTGTGGATGTGATTATGCATCATGAGAGTGAAAGCGCCTGAGCACCACACAATGTAAAGTATGTGAGCAAATCCATGGAAGATGTTGAAGTTATAGTACAGATACAATGCACTTGGCAGGGCGGTGGTAAAATACACTATTATGTGCGAGAGAAAGACCACATCAGTTTGATGCCTGACAATCGTTCTAGCCCATTTTACGTATTCTTTCATGAACAGATCTCGAATGCCTCTTGGGCTTTGAAAATCGCTGAGATTGTGGTCCCAAGACGAGAAGATTGTAGGTTGGAAATTCGGATGTTTTGGATCGTTGATGCTGCTCAGTACCTCCAGCGCGGAGTCATCAGAAGCGGCATTTTCCAGTTTAGTCGAACCTATATCTTTGTCTTCGAAATTGTTGATGTCCCGGTACAGAACCTCAAGAACAACATTATCGGCTCGAGTGAAGAACGCTTCGTCGGGCGCTTGGTAGTTGGTGGTGGATGCCATTCTGCTCAGCACGTGCTGCAAACGCGAAAAATAAAAGGGGTTGAAGGTAGGAAGCGTCAACACGCAGGATTGAGTTGCGCTGGATTTAGTTATCGATTTGTCGTCAACGCCATCATTCGTTAAATCGACGAGGAAGGACAACTTTGTTGAAGCAGATTGAGAGAGATTGGTGTTGTGAGATCAAAAGTGTCTACGATGTTTCTTCTTTTGTGGGAAGGAGCAGTCAGGCCACGCCGCTGCGGCGTTTCAGGGTCGTATGTGCAGAAAATGCTTGGGGAGGGAGGCTGACAGCGTAACACTTTAATCAAAGGAATCAATTAGAGAATGTCAATTGGGTCGCCTCGTGGTATTTTCAAATCGATCCAATGGGTGCGGTGGACGGAGGGGAATTGTGTCGAGAGTTGTAGGAAGGCAGAGGTGAAAATGTCTGCGAATGACGCTTTGACAAATCGGGTCCACATTTCCTCAAGACTTGCTAGATGTGGGATTCAAAACATCTTCAAATACACCAATATGAACGAGAAATTGGAGCGATTGCGACTACCTATTCGTTTGTCGTTAGCGATAGAGAAATAACCACAACTCTTGTTGGTGTAACATCACTGCTGTCGCCAACCTCTCACCTCAATGGGCCTCGAGCAACGGATTGCCATGCCAAGACCAGTCACCAGTGTTTCTGTTTTTCGCCACGGAGCTAGATCTCACATTCTGCTATCCGCCAGACATGATTAGCTCGAGGATTCGTTTCTGAAGCATCCCAGAAACTTACAAAGTAGGTTATTTGCATGAGCTTAAATTGACGTTCCCGTCTTGGCCAACAAACGGCCTCCCGATCAAAGAGTCTCGACGCGACCACTATTGCCCAAAAAAGCAATCAGTCATAATCCTCAACCTGTCCGAATTTCAAAGAGCGCTCTTAACATCGGCCGATGAATACGGAAGCATCATATCCGGCTGTCTTCCAGGACCGAGCATAATGTTCGCGGTAAGAAAGGCAAGCAATAAGATGAATTGTTTGTCAATTTCCTGCCTCTGGGGTAGATATCGAGTAAGCTGGCTCGAGATGAACAATGCGAGTGGCAGCCAAAATCACATCTTTATATTTCTTCGATCAGCTTGACGAAATACACTCATGTAGTCTATTGCTTTCAGTAAATGCGACTTTGGAGTCTGTTCAAAGCCGTTGGCCGGTAGAATATACGTAACCATACTGCTTGGCTAACAACGTGACAGAATAATTTCGAGGTTATTGCCATTTATGTTTTCAGTAAGGTTCAAGCTCTACTCGAGAACCAGAGGTCCGGAAGAGATATTGTGTTCAATCATCTCTCTAGAAATTTATCATGTAACTCACTATTTTTACAAACGGATACCAACAATAAAGCTCCCGAGTCTCGCATCTATACAAATGCCGACGGCACTTCAGACCGGGATCTGAAGCTATATATTTCAAATGGCGGGGTGCAATTGACAAGGGGAGCTCCTGCAATTGCAAGGTCTTCGCCGCTCACCGAGTGTTTGCAGGCATCCAGCTTGCCATTGCGAGAGTGTAACCACCTGAGAAACCTGGGATAGAAGTAGGCCAAGAGATAACTTCAGGCATCACACTTTGGGGACCCGAAGGACTCATGTAACGTTCACTTGTTCATTCTGAAAGTTAGGGTCGTGAAGCATTCGGTGTTAATTTACATATTCGATTGTTGATGCTGCATCATTAGGCTCAAGAACTTTATCCGTTGAGATGTTTCACAGCATCATGGTGTCTCGGAAGACCATCTAGACTTTTGGAGTATATCGAGTGTTTGAGACGGCTTGCCACCTTCCAATTGGCTTCATTACAAACAACAAACCTCGTCATGGAGGAATCAAAGCACGAGATTGACGTTGAAGCGATTGCAAAGGACGTCTCAAACAACGATATTCCTGCAGATGGGACGACAGAGCTGCTAGACGAGCACTCTTTGAGCTTCATGCAAGCTTTGAAGCTCTACCCAAGCGCAGTAGGATGGTCCATGTTCTTCTCCCTCGGGGTTATCATGACCGCTTTCGATCCTCAACTACTGGGCAGTTTATTCGCGACTCCAGCGTTTCAAAAAGATTTTGGTTATCTATACGGGGACTCCTATATTGTCAGTGCACCATGGCAAACAGCACTTGGGATGGGGAATCCAATTGGACAAGTTGTAGGAGCTCTAGGAGCGGGATATCCTATGGAGTGGTATGGGCGAAAACCGGTAATTTCTTAATCACATTGAACTGTTGTAAGACTAACAAAATGTAGACGTTCATAACCTGCGTTATTTTGACAACAGCATTTATCTTCAACCAATTCTTCGCACGTTCTCTGCCGGTCTTACTTGTCGGCGAATTGATAGGTGGTCTAATTCTGGGCACGTATACAACCATTGCTCCTACATACGCGAGCGAAGTCTGTCCGATAGCTCTTCGGGGTCACCTAACAGCGTACATAAATCTCTGTTTCGTAACAGGTCAATTACTAGCCAACGGTGTGATTGCAGGAACATCGCAACTCTCGAATCATTGGGCATATTCCGCACCCTTTGCGCTCCAATGGGCTTTTCCAGCTATAATTCTCATCGGCAGTATCTTTGCGCCTGAAAGTCCATGGTGGTATATCCGCAAAGGTCGACTTGCGGATGCGGAAAAAGCACTTGGCAGATTGAGCAGTAAAAGTGTGGATAAGAAGGCCGCGTTGAGAGCGATGATCGAGACGGATCGTCTAGAGGTAGAGATGGAAACTGGTACAAGTTACTGGGATTGTTTCAAGCAAATCAATCTGAGGCGGACGGAAATCAGTGTTGGTGTTTTCACGACCCAGGTTTTTAGTGGAATTTATTTGGTGGGATATGCTGCCTATTTCTTTCAGCGTATGTGTGCTTTTCATTTACTCGAGTATTGTAAGAAATTGACAAATTTATAGTTGCCGGGTTGACTGGCCACAAAGCTTTCGATATGAGCGTTGGATTTTTGGCTGTGGGCTGGGTTGGAACAGTACTTAGCTGGATCATGATATCGAAATTCGGACGAAGGAGAATCTATAATATTGGTCTGGCAGTCTTGACTGTCATCATGTTTCTGATTGCGTTCCTGGACTTCGCACCGGATTATGAGAATAGACCTGGCATTATTTGGGCACAGTCCACTCTACTTGTAAGTCATCGCACTTCGAAGCTTCAAAGCTGCTAGCTTACGCTCGGTACTTTAATGTTCTTCGAATGAGGCTAATTCCTGCACAGATTCTCTGGAACGGCGTCTTCGATATTTCAATTGGTCCAATTTGCTACGTTGTAATCTGCGAAGTTTCGGCTACCAAAGTCCGCAGTAAGACCATCGCCATCGCAACAGCGGCACAAGCCATTGTGGGCATCATCATGACAGTCGCGATCCCATACATGATTAATCCGGATCAAGCAAATTTGAGAGGGAAGATGGGTTTGTTCTTTGGTAAGTCATCTCGCTTGAAGTACTCTTCTTTGGGATTTGTGGACTACTTCTGGAATGGAAATCAACGCTAACGCTCCAAACAGGTGGGTTGTCAGTAATCTGTTTCATCTGGGCATGGTTTAGAATCCCCGAAACGAAAGGCAGGACGTACAAAGAACTTGACTTGATGTTCGCCGAAGGAGTCAGGACTCGAGAATTCAAGAAATACAAGTTCAGTTGAAACTTCATCTTGCAACGTAGGCAGCTGTAGATAGTGGACTACTACCATGATAGGCATCAAAGAATTATTGAATAAACAACCAATTGTGGAAATCAGCTATACTCTTCAGCCTAAAGCCGCGTCACATGTCACTCTCACGTACCCACCTCCCCCCACCTATGATATATATATTAATTCCCATATTCTTGACAAGCCGCGTCTCATATCAAACTAAACCCTTACCATTCTCAACATGGCAACGAACTACCTTTTCTCCCCGTCCCTCACTCCAAGCACTCCTCTCCCTACAAATTTCAAATTTAGACCTCTATCCCGCGACGACTACGACGCAGGTCACCTAGACGTCCTGCGTGATCTCGCTGAGGTAGGACCAATCACCAAGGAGCAGTGGACGGAACGATATGATTGGATGAAGGGGTCTCAGGGGAGTTATTATGTGCTGGTTATTGAACATGAGGGTAAAGTTGTTGGGACGGGGACGTTGATTGCGGAGAAGAAATTGTGAGTTTACAGACTGGCTTGTTTTGAGGAAGTGGGTAGAGAGCGAGAAGACAAGAAGTGTTTACGAATATGAGAATATGGATGGAAGTATGCTAACGTTCAAGTCCGTTAAGTCTGTTTCGCTTAGGAGTTCAAGGTCATATCGAGGATATCTCTATCAAAAAGGAGTTTCAGGGGAAGGGGTTGGGGAAGGCTTTACTTGCTGCGTTAGGTGAGGTTGCCAAGGGGGCCGGATGTTATAAGGTATGGTAACCTTTCTTATTGTTGGATTGTGAAGGAGTTTAGTAGGCTAATTGTTGCGTAGAGTATCTTGGATTGTAACGCTCAGAAATCGGAGTTTTATGTCAAGTGCGGGTTTGAGAAGAAGGGCATGGAGATGGAAATGTATTTTGATGAGGAAGCTAGGAAATTTAGTGTATAAAAAGGGGCAGAAGTGTTTGCTCGGCGTCGCGGCAGGCAATGTGGGTATTAAGTGCTCATGAGTGTGCCGTAGCCTTATGACCAGGTTGTTAACTTAGTCATTACATAGTCAGAACTTGATCTTCTGATCTCTTCAGGTTTCAGGAAGATCTTATTTAGTCAAACCATTAGATAAAATATCCGTTTTGTTGTCAATCCAATTGACTAAATATGAGCCTTTAACGGCCACATAAGTTGGCTGCCGCCTTTTTGGCTCTGCTGCGTTAAATTGAGAGAAACTGACTTAGAGGCCAAATAGTTATATTAGATAGGAGTGATTATCATGAAATTAGATCTACTCGTTCAATCTAGAGCGGTTGATATCCTCCCTTGTCCTTTATAAACTCCAAATCATCGCTAGGTTTCTCCATTACACACTATAACATCAATTTCGCGTCTTCTCAACAGGCCATATCCTAAGAATCTTCGCTTCATGAGCCATAACCTCAACCGAGTAAGGCATATCGTATGGTCCCTTATCTTCATGCTTCCACAAATCCCTCACCCTATACTTGTCCCAAGGTATCGTCAAGTCTCTTCGCAAGTTGAGATTCATATCCGCCGTCGCACCGCCGCGGTTCAGTAACGCAACCGCATAACTGTCATCTGCCATTACTTTCGCATATATCTGTTGGGTCTTGTCTGCGCTTTCCCACGCTACATCTGCAGGCTTACCAAGTGGATCTTGATTCAGCTCTATTATCTCGCGATTCAGAAGTGTCGTCAGAGATGTGTTTGAAAGTGTTCGAACATCGGCTCCGATGAGTAATGGCGAAGCTACCATGGCCCACATGCTGAAATGCGTCCTATATTCCACATCGCTTGCCCCGGTTCCGACCAGCTGGCCACTCTTTCCTTCCAGTCCAACAATCAACATATCGTAGTCATTCCAATGACCTGGACCTGAGTACTGTGTCAAGTTTGCTCCTCGATCCAGCATATCCAGCACATCGAAATAGTACTTTTCTCTATTACCGGGGTAGTTGAAATCATCGGAGATATCCTGCCCGATACGCCATTGGTTTGCACCATCAGCTGCTGCCCACTCCCAGACGGAAACCCATCCACAATGGCAAGCGTGATAAACAATTGGCCGTGAAGATGATAAAAGAGCTAGAGACATGGTTCGAACAACTGCTTGGACTTCGGCTTGCGGAGCATCGGCATGAGAACAGCAGCTATCGTATTTGAGATGATCAATTCCCCATGATGCCCAAAGTACAGCATCTTCGCTCTCGTGATCTTTGCTTCCAGTGTACCCAGCGCATGTGAGATCTCCTGGTCCAGAATATATACCCAGCTTGAAACCTTTGCTGTGTGCGTAATCTGCCAACGCCTTGATTCCTGATGGGAACTTGACCGGATCTGCTTCGAGTGGCCCAGGGTGGTCTTTGCGATCTCCTTTGTAGCGCTGCCAACCATCATCTAGATTGATGTAAATGAAGCCAGCCTCCTTCAAGCCACTCTTGTCCATGCTATCGATAGTTTCCATAATCAATTGCTCATTTATCGAATCTCCGAACTGATTCCAGGAGCTCCATCCCATAGCTGGTGTCAAAGAAAGACTGTTGTTCAAATTGCTGGACGAGTTCTGTGCAACGACAGCGAGACATGTGCTCAGCAGGAAGCTGAGACTTAAAAGCCTCATGACGTTCAGTGAGCTCGAGTAGAGAGATTCTGAATTCTAGATGATAGCGGAATTGGCTGGTAGTGATCCTAAGAGAACTGCGATTTGCCTCGAATAAAAAAGTAAAACTCTAGCAAGAAATATAAATCGAGAGCTACAACGGTTCGACACCCCCCGCCGGTACTTCTTGGCAGGGGCACAACATAGCAATTAATTCAAGCAGTAGTCAAGGATGTATTGACATGATGCCCGACCCTGCGCATGTAACATACCACTTGAATTTAGGCATCATTGAAACTACCCCTGCCAAATGGTTGTGCAGATAAACACCCTGCATATGTAGATTCGACCCCGCCTTTATATCGGATCGTAAAAGGAGAGCTTGAAGAGCTCAAAATAAGTCTTTCGAAGGAGGTCAGGAAATGATACAGCCAAGACTGGGGCTCGGAAGCCGACTGGCTTCCATGGACAAGATGTTGAAATAGAACAGAAATATGAAAGCGATATAGAATGATACTACAATGAAAAGATATCGTCTTCAAACTGAGAAAACAATACGAGAGACGCAGTACGAACTGCATGTCACGTACGGTTTCTGTATTGCTTTGAATTTCAATCTGGTAGTGCTGCGAGAACTTCTTCGGGTTGACGAAGAGTGTCGCCGCTGCCCAGTGCCAAGATACTCAAAAGAAGCAAGCAGGACAAGATTCTCGAGCGATAAAAGCTCCTTGAGTCATCAAACGTTGTTTGAGAACCCGAGCATAGGTCTTTGTACTCTTTAAATCCCAGCAGACGAAAAATAACAAGAGCTCGACAACTTCGCAAGCGAGAGACCGATAACTTTATTTCCACCACATGCTATCAATTTAATTGAGACACCCGCCAGACGTTCTGCATCTCGCAGGGGGGAAGTGTTGGTGCAGTAAGCAGACAGCTACACAGCTCAAAAATGATTGAAATGTGCCGCCATTCCCTGGTGAGTTACATAGTAAAGTGCCATGTTTTCTAAGTGATTATTTTACTTGACGTCAGGTTGTTTCAACAGCATACCGCTTACAATACTTGAAAGACCGGCAGAATAAGCATTATGGAGCAAGGTGGAATTATTCTCAGGCAGCTGTCCAGATGAGTATTACTCATCAAGGACTCTATAGTATTGTACACAACGCTCGATAGCCCAGGATAGCATTGGCTATAACGAAGGAGGTAATTTGTGCAATCCCTTGTGTCATTGCTTGTTCAGCATGTATGAAGTTTGGGCGCAAGAGAATAAGATTCAACCAGCCTTCTACGAAACGTTGTACAATTTCTATCACAAATGGCTATATGTGATGAAAGCCTAACACTTCACAAAATCTTGGTAGACCCTTACTGCATATGCCAGATGGCTGCATATGATGGACTGATAATTGCGAGGATAAGGCTTGCGAACACAGAAGCGCATATAAATTTAGGATGTCCGTCTGCTCCGTATAATGGTCGCTGTTCGCTGCGTCAAGAGCATGGAAACAGCCAGGGCCATTCGCTAGATGCGCAAATGTTGACCGCGAGAGATAATTCCCGACGACGTGAGCTCAGTTTCGAGCTACGACGTTGTTCACCATCTACCAGACCTAAGGGAGACCCACAGCGGTAGTCCCAGAAAAATTAGTAGTATCCTGCTCCAAAGAATAACAGTGTCTCTCACCTGGAAAAAAGATGGGTGAAGCGTCGCCCTCAACAGAGTGATCGGAATCGAATTGTAACAGCCCCCCAGCCACAAGTGACCAAGAGACCAGCACACTGCGTATTGCACTCAAGTGTCATGCCGCAGCACACACAATCTTCGCAACGGCTCTCCCATAGGGAAACAAGCACACCACCTTGTCTCCGCACGAGGCGGATATATAGATAGGACTTGCCCCTGCTTTTCTGATGCCAATTGCAGACGCGAGATCACGTCGAACCCTCGCGGGCAGACCTGTACACTTTCCCTGGTGGAGGAAAGGACGAGGTGGATTGAAGAGTACTCCGAATTTCTCATATGCAGATGATAAAATGACCTTCGCAGGTGCATGATTTGACATTCGCGATCTGGGAAGATCGAGCGGGTATCTGTTTGTAGCATAGAAACGCAGTGTTGAAGAGGACGACGCTTGAGGAAAGAAAGAGAATGTCGCGAAGTGGAAAAATATTATTGAGAAAGGGTTGGCGCACAGACCAGGTGCACAAGTCATAGCTGTGGTGGGGCAAGCGTCATATTTCCCGTCGGATCGGAAGAAAGAAGTTCCATCTGGCTGACACGTGCAGCCCTGCCGAATGAACAAAGACTCACTCAGCCACTGCCGGGCTGCTGGGCAGTGAGTGACGATGGAGTAGTGCCATGGCCTTACGCGCAAGCAAATCCCATCGTTCCGGCTGTCCAAATCAACATCAATAATTCTTTACTTCTGATCAATTCTGGAGCGACCAAATCATCAAAAGTACATTGTGTAGCAGTTATAACCCAGGATGTGTTTTATTTTCACTTGTGGAGAGACTGGTAAGCTCCCGGCGTTGCCACTTCCCTCTCGCAAAAAGGCGGGAAACTGACATTCAACCTAGAATTCTCTAAACAACTGCAAGGATACGAGAATGTCGTCTGCCAGTGTCACAACTGTGTAAGTTGCGCATATGCGCTTGCTCTGTAGCTTTCCAGAACGAACTTGCGACTGACCATATGCTAGGGAAACTATGCGGCCAGAGTGATCAAACGAAACCCATGGTTCACCTTCTGCTTCATTCCTGTCCTTCCACTTAGTATCCACGGCCACCAAGATGTCGTATGTTCCATCTGCCGATTTGCGCAACCACTCGAGAATCGACAAGACGTAGTAGCTATGGCGAATGGTGGTGGTGGAGGAGCTATGCCCTTACAACATAATCCACAAGGAGGACCGCCTCAGGGTTGGGGAGGCGGACCCGGAGGTGGCCAACCGCCCAAGCAGCAGCAGAACATGCAATACGGATAGTTGCATTGTCCTGTCGGATTGGAAGGAGGCAAAGGCCATTGTGGCAAGAGTAATTGGACTGATCTTTGGCGTTGTCGATATGAGCGTCGCCGACGTTTGGAAGGAGTTATGAGTTTTTACGGCATTATATTCGAAACATTAGGATTGGAAGGCTTGGCCTGATGCGAGACAAAGTGTCGTCTTGAACAGGGCGCTTTAATATTTTAGCGGAACAGAGTTTGCGTCTTCTGCGGATGAGCGCTCTCGCAACAATTGTATATTTGGCTATTATTAGTACCATATATTTTTTCACTGTGAAGAACAGTTGAGCCAATCTCACTTCCTCTGATGTGTCCACGTCTAGACATGGACCGTGTGAATGTCGTAGATAGTGGCTGGCTGGTCTTCTTGTCCATCCCAATGACAGAAAGCATGGCGCATATACAAGTAATATTGCTTTTTCCCAGCCGCATCTCAGATTTTGACATCAAATGAAATGTTAGCGGCACTCATTTGCAGCTATCGGTTGGTTCCGACGCGGGATTCAAGATATCTTTGTGACGAGAAATATCGTCCGCGGAGTCGTCACGCTACAACTGGCCATACTGCACGTGCGATGTCTTAGTTATTGTTCTTTTCTACGATAATTATTTCTTATCTTAGGATCGTCGAGAATAACTTCGATGCCAGTGGAGAGCAGAAGTCGCACGTCGATCCCAACGTTAAGAAGAAAGAGAGAGTAGCCAGTTGCAAGTCATTTAGCGACCAATCAGCAATTAAATTCTACACCCCAACGCCGGCGGGGCGACGGCAGTTTTCACCCCATCATTTGCAGGGTTTTCACAGGCTTTTTGCGATGTCGGACAGATAGGGCTGTTGGCAAAATCGTAGCAGTCGAAACACGATATTTAGTCAAAGCAATTGACGAAATATCACGATTTGGTCAATTGTTTTCAGTAAATAAGAATGTTTCAATCCCGAAGTCCAGGGACCTTACTCACGATTCACTTAATATATAGAAATCGACTTCAACAGGCAACTGATGTTCCAGCGCGTAGAAGGAGAGAACGCAGACTTTGATACCCAATCTGACTTGGTTACGCCTCAAGTTATCTATCTGCACTTTGGAACTCTTGAACATACTCGTGAGAGAGAATAAGAACAGTTAAAGGCTTTATTGCATTCCTGTTCTGCCCAACTTAGCTTGGAAAAGCTCTGCCCGGTGCACTCCCAAATCCATCATCTCCAATTCCTGTCATAAAGCGAATAATTCCAGCATTATCTAGTAGCCGTTGAGACAATCTACAAAGCTTTTTTAGTCTGTAATAGCTCCCTTCGGCTAAAGTCTTTCACTGTGTCAAAGCGCTTCTTCTCGAGCTTGGTGAGCTTGGTGATCAGCCTTTGACACTTCTTATCATAAGTATCGAGTACATCCTCGTCTCTCATTGGATCTGACAGCTCGCTGATAACGAAATGCACACAAACCTTAGTCTGCCGCTTCAACTGATGGCGTTTCCGCCAAGTCACGTCCCGCATACAGCGTAGCTCCCCGCCTTGGGCAAGGGGTGAGACTGGACGGGGTATCTATTACACACCTCGATCACTCTTATCAAAATTTATTATCAGACCCCATGAACCAAACATCACGACGCCAACAGATTCTTACCAGACTTCTCACACGCCATTGCCCCCATAACCGTCCGCTATGAGTCTAGATGATGTCTCTCCGACGCCGCAAGAGTGGTAGCTGTCTGGATCAAGTAGCATCATGTAGGGTTATTTGCAGCTGGGTGCTTTTTTTTCAGTCTCGCGGAGAGATATGCTGGGATGCATCAAAGCTTCCCATCCACTCATTATTTTGTCAAGGGTAGCTTTCATCTGTGTTGAGATATGTTTTCCTGCCGGTTGCTCAACCCCACACACTGTTGTGGAGCTGTGAGACGAAGCTATATGAAATCTGTGTCCCCCGTCCGATATCTTTTCACAGACTCTGTCTTTCGTAGCTGAGGCACTCCCGAAAGAAACCTCGCAAAGATGCCAATTGATCCTCCTCTTAACGTTGGCTGGGGCTATGGAATAGTCCTAGGTCTGGGTGCTGTGTTCGCGCTGGGCATGGTAAGCTTCCACTTTGCTTGTACTACCGGATTCCAGCTGATAGTCTAATTTAGGTGCTCGTCACATGGATTCTCAAGCGTTATAACAATGAGTTGCAGACATCTGAGATGTTTAGCACGGCGGGCAGAACAGTGAAGTCGGGTCTGGTGGCATCTGCTGTGGTTTCTTCTTGGACATGGGCCGCTACTCTGCTACAGAGTTCCGGTATTGCTTACCGATATGGTGTCTCTGGTCCATTCTGGTATGCCAGTGGTGCTACTGTACAAATTCTCCTGTTTGCAACCATCGCCATTGAGCTTAAGAGAAGAGCTCCAAACGCCCACGTATGACAAGCCCAAAGTCCACTTCGATGTGTCACCGCTAATAACACGATACCAGACTTTCCTTGAAATAATCAAGGCTAGATACGGCGTCGCTGCCCATATTGTCTTTACTGTTTTCGGATTAATGACAAACATCTTGGTTACTGCCATGCTTCTAACTGGAGGTTCAGCTGTCGTAACTTCCTTGACTGGCATGTCCACCGTCGCAGCTTGTTTCCTTCTTCCGCTCGGCGTAGCAATTTACACTATGTTCGGAGGAATCAAGGCTACCTTCTTGACTGATTGGGTGAGTTCCACCAGTTCTATCAAGCTCATTGGGAAAACTCTTCTAACTGCTTTAGGTTCATACATTCATTCTCCTAATTATTATAATTATCTTCTCGTTGGTGACCTACGCCTCAAGCGACCTTCTCGGCTCTCCACAGGCTGTTTTCGATCTCCTAGTTAAAGCCGCTGCAGACCATCCCGTCGAGGGTAATGCAGGGGGAAGCTATCTCACGATGCAATCTACTGAGGGTGCCATCTTCTTCGTCATAAATATTGTTGGCAACTTTGGAACGTAAGTCAATTTCCAGCGTTGGCGACTCCAAAGATTACCTGCTAAGTTTACATCAGCGTTTTCCTTGACAACGGTTACTACAACAAAGCTATTGCTGCTTCTCCAGTTCACGCCCTTCCAGGTTATGTATGTTACCTTTCTCTTTGTTCTACGCCTTGCGGCAGACCTCTTCTTTTGGACTGGAATGTAAATTGAACGGAATCCGTGATTCCATTGCATAAATGGTCCTTCCACTAATATTGACTTCTCTGGCGCGCGGTGGACAGTTGAAGTGGCAGTAACGCCGTACGGACGTCTACCTCATTCAAGGAACAAGACTCTGGAAATTTCATATTTACTGAAAATGGTAGACGAAAACTTCGTGTTTCGTCAACTTGATTGAGTAAATATCAGTTTCCACTGTCTACTGTCACTCAGGTTGTCCACCGCGGAGTCTGAGTGGTGGAACAACTAGGGGTGTCGGCCGACTCCCAGTCACGTGATATGTTTTCAGATATACAACTTTGCTCAAACCTCAACAAGAAACATTGCTAACACCCTTCTTGATCATGGGAGGGATATCTTGGTTCGCTATACCGTGGTTAATGGCGACTACAATGGGTTTAGCAGCTCTTGCGCTCGAAGGAAATCCGGCTTTCCCTACCTACCCGAACCGTATGGACGACGCTGATGTCTCCGCGGGTCTTGTTGTCCCATATGCTGCAGTTGCACTTCTTGGAAAGGGCGGAGCTGTAGCAGTTCTCTTGATTGTCTTCATGGCTGTGACGTCTGCAAGTTCTGCAGAACTGATCGCTGTTTCGTCGATTTTCACCTACGACATCTACCAAACATACTTTAACCCAACCGCTTCAGGTAAAAGACTCATCTACATGTCTCATTGTATGGTCGTCGGGTTTGGATTATTCATGGCAGCTTTCTCTGTTGGGCGTAAGTTGATATCCCCCTTTTTCTCTTCGCTTAGAGCACATGCTAACCTCAATCTTAGTCTTCTACGCTGGTATATCAATGGGATATCTCTATGTAATGATGGGCGTCATAATCTCATCTGCTGTCATTCCAGCAACACTTACTATTATGTGGAAAGGGCATAATAAGTGGGCCGCTACATGTGTCCCCCCTATCGGCCTCGCTTGCGCGCTCATTGCATGGCTCGTCACAGCAAGCAAGACCTGCGGAAAGCTCGACGTCGAGTGTACAGGATCAAACAACCCTATGTTGGCTGGAAACGTTATGGCATTACTTTCCCCTCTGATATTTACCCCAATATTCACCCTTATCTTTGGCGTTGATAATTACGACTGGGTTTCTATGGCAGCTATTCGCAAGGGCGATGATCACGATCTCGCTGCCGAAGCACACATCGATCTTGAGCTCATCCCAGGGGAACGCCTTCGAACTGCCGAAGATGACGCTGCTGAACAAGTAAAACTCCTCCATGCGTCCAAGGTTGCCAAAATAACCACCGTTGTACTCACTCTCGCGCTTCTCATTCTCTGGCCAATGCCTATGTACGGCACCGGTTACATTTTCTCGGAGAAATTCTTCGCCGGATGGGTCGTCGTTGGTATCATATGGATCTTTGGTAGCTTGTTTGCCGTTGGTCTGTTCCCAGTTTGGGAAGGGAGAGCCGGATTGGCATATACCATCAAAGCTATCTACCTTGACATTACTGGCAAGCAAAAGCCAGGCCATCACCATGCCTCGACCGCTACTTATACCGAGGGCAAAGAGACTGGTGTCGATACGCCACCGAATGTTGACACTGTCGATGAGAAGGGGCTTGAAAGTACTTCGCATGCTGTTGCGAAATAAGGTATTGCTGAATTACTGGGCAAGAGGTGATGGAAAGTGGAGTGTGCGTGGTGAGATAAGAGCTATGATACCAACTTGATTTAGTGCTTCAATTTTGTTCATTTAATGCTATTAAGCTTTTGCTTCTACAATTGCCATCATGGAATGAACTTTGTCTCCCATTTGACAAGATAACTCGGATGGAGCTTAACGCGATATCGTTTGCTCAATTCAATTGACGAAATATCGATAATGTCTCAAAATAATCCACGAAATATCGGTAGTCTCTCAATACAATTGAAGAAATATGGTGATTCGGCTGTCCACGAGTGAAGTCGTTATCAATATCACGTGATGTGACTTTCCTCCTTAATTCCATACCCACTGAGCGAAAGGTATTTATTTCAAGCTCTGAAATCGTATAAGGGTGGTCCATCCCTTTATCTTTTCAGCTATCATGGTTTTCCAGTTGCGATTGTAAAGGTCACGTGTTTGATGGGTCAATTGAAACCCGAGAGAAAAGAGACAGCGAAGACACACTGACATCCTATTTGACCTCCTAGCTTCGGCGGCCTTTCAAGAACGCACTAAACACCGGCTTATAAAGGAGAATTCCTCGACATCTTGTGTGTAGTTTACACTTCACACGATTATTCTGCTCCGTACAATGCGCTAATCGATTTGAAGAAGAATATGTAACAGCACCATTCGTCTGCCGCCCTCCGCTGAGGATGGACGTCAAAATACCTTCTGTTCTCTTCTCTTGATCTTCCACTTTTGTAATTTCGACAGAAAAGCAGGAGAAATATTCTTTCCGCCAATTGTGTTGATTTTTGCAATATGTTTCGCATTTGCATTTCTTCAGGCATCATAGCAATTTGAGCCTTGATGATTGGTCTGAAATTTGAAAACTTTCCTTCGACTCTGACATTTTGTGTTGCGGCTTGCGCCTCGCCTTTAAAGTTGAAGGCTTCATGATTACTCTCTTTGTCATCCTCCGTATCTACGACATTGTTGGATGAAGTTGCACTTTGTTCTGTTATTTTTCGAGGCAATAAAGAACATGCATTCAGTCGTGTCATTGTGATAATGGTATGGTATTGGCGGGATACTGGAGAGGTGAGTTGACGATAGTGGCCCCATGTGCTGCCCGAGAGACCATGCTTTCGGCCTCCGGCCCTAGCCTTGAGAATGTTAACACGCGTATTGCTCCTTTCGCACGTAATCGACTGTTCATCGAATCGTATGTTGAAAGCCAAAGTTATGTTTATGTTTTTGAGCAACACCATATCCAGGTTTACCTCACTGCCTTTGCGGCAGAGGACTAATAAGCATGATGAGACCCCAAGACAAATTATATGGGCACCAAAGTTACGGGTATGAAAGTTTTCGAATTGCTTCTCGAATTTTGCTAACATCATCACTAAGCTAGAACTCCTACAAAATATCAAGAAAATTGAGGCCGACGAGCAGAATCACACATGTGAAAGCTACAAGCCAATTACTAGTGGGATGGTTCGCAATGCTGCTTCCGCTCTCTCCGTTGCCAGCACTTTCGTTATGTTCTCCGTGCTGAAGGCCCTCTCCTGTGGGCGCCGTACTTCCAGGTGTAGCATCCTTCGCACGCGGGCAAGACACTGTTGTAGCCACGCTCTGGTTTCGAAAATAAAAGCCTGCCATGACAGGCCAGGCCAAGCTCCCAATGTAGTTGTATGCAGTCGTGTTGCCTGCACTGTGGGCCTTATTACCACCCCAAGCATTCTTTTCCAACCTCCCACCAGCCCACCTTCGAATGGCCGTGGCATCGAAAAACCCCCCAGCACAGGTATTTGTCCATATTGCACTGTCATTGCCCAGTGCAGTGCACGATGGAATTTCGCTTTTGCGCGGACAAGAACAGCTCCTACCGGAACTGGTCTGGACAGCATTTTTCAGCTCCGCAATACATTGATTGTTCAATACGCTCGAACATGTTCCGTCATCACCACGCAACGCCGACGGATAGGGAACATTATCCAATTGCCAGTTGAAGAGGCAAATGTGCCAGTCGTCGTTCACGGAGATGTTCTGGTTCGAGGGTGAGGAGGGTCCGTTGAAGATCAACTTTCCCCCAGTATAGAATATACTCCTTTCCGGTCTGTTCCAGCTGGAATTGACTATGGGTATATCTGCTACCGCTGAAATGGACCAATGCCAACCTTCAATGTTGGAGTTCGAGGACATTGAGAGATTTGGACCGGCGATTGGGAAGTTTCCGGTCGCGTTTGGATGATTGTTAACTAGGTTGTCAAACACTGTTCCAGGAATATCCCACGGAACCATTCCTCCAATCCGTTGAAGGGTTTGAACAGGCGTCTCATATTCAGATTCTGCGGATACAACGTCGAAGTAAGTACAGCCGATGCTGACACCGAGAAGCACGTGAATTGCTTTGGAAATGAAGTACATATTGAGGAGAGAATGACTCCGAGTAAGTTGCTATGTTGAGCTTGAGAGGTTGTATGCTTGTGTGCGGCAAGAAAGAGCTTGCAATAATGGTTTCCGGTTGACAGTTTGACGCTGCGTAGAGGCAATTATGTCTCCCTGGAATTATATTTGAGATAATGATGTGGCAAGAGTCTCTGCAAGACTCTATCTCAGACAAAGTTCTCTTGCGGTGTCTTTATACAACTGAATGAAGAACAACAAATACCAAGACCAAAGGCAAACACCTATTCAGTCCTGAGACTTGACCAACGTCATAATCATTTGTTTCAAGTCTTGGGTTACATTTTGCTGATCATATACTGTCTCGAGAAAATTACAACAAACAACTGAGACCATTTGAATAATAACCAACATGCACGACCCCTCGAATCCAACATTTAGTGTTCCTCCAACTTCTTATACCCGGACCAGCCGGACCTATCAAAATCTACCAGATTCTCTACCAACATCCTATTCTTCCAGATGACAAGGTAAATGGCAGAACTTTATGAGTTTTTAAGTTTCTATTATGATTGATTATTAAAGTGTAAATTAGAGACTGTATATACTCTGGAGACTACTTTCTTTTAAGGGGAGTGCAATAGAGTATATTTCCTGAAAATAATGGAAGAAATCACCATGTTTCGTCAATTGATTCGAAGAAATATCAAATTTCGACTATCAATTATTTTGTCCTCAACGAGCCGTACTCCATATGCTGAGGAGCGGAATCCAGTCTGGAGCTTGCGGCTCCTCCTTAATGCACCTTCCCGCCACTAGCAAAAACCCCACTTTACATCCAAACGTCATGCATTACAACTCCTCCTTCCTGACAGCTAGTTGATGCCATGAGATTTCTGAAGCCATCACTCTTATATTCAAGCAAACCTTCAATTATCTCTATAAGTTTAAGTTGTAGATCAAGTTCAAAATTCCTGCCCTTACGCAATACCATTCCAGCTTGTAGAACACGCTATTTGAGCACTACCAGAACCAGTCAACGGCAAGTCCAGAGCACGATAAACGCCATGTCTGCTCCAAAAGAGTTTCCGCCTGAGAAGGTGAGAATTGTAGTGGCTGAGGTTATGACATTGTTGAAAGAAAAGGGAGAGAGCGTTTGTGTAGCGGAGACGGTTCGTACCGTTCTTTATCTATTTGACAAAGGGGTTACTGGGTGGTCGAAAAAGATTGCTAACAGGCGCTTGTGCGTGCAGGCTGCCGGTGGAATTATATCTGCAAGTATGTTGAGTACATCAGGAGCTAGCAAGTTCTACAAAGGAGGATTAACAGTATGTGTTTCTTCATTGGCTCTTCTCCTAATGGTGGTGATCTGGGTATTCTCGTCAAGCTATAGCGTTACCCCGGCTTCATACGAATCTAAACGATCACTAAATCAACAAATATATAGCTTTACACTCTTGAATCACGCATTGCCTTTGGTATTTACTTTCCTCCTCTTCTACTCAAATTTTGAAACTGAACATCTGCAGCCGGCTGGACACAAGACAACATATCCACCTATCGCGGACCTACCACTGACATCGTGGCCGGATTGGCCTCAAATGTCCGTCCTAAACTAGGTGCCACCTATTGCATCTGTGAATCCGGGACCGCAGGTCCTACCGGCGGCGATACCCCTAACAGAACTCCGTATGTTCACTTTCAAGTATGTGAGGTGCTGATACTGATCTGCGATTAGGGGATATGTTGCTTTAGCTGTTGCGACGGAAAAGGGAGTATATAAGAAGGAGCTTAGTACAGGTCTTGGAGGCGATAGAGAGGGAAATATGATCGCTTTCGCAGCCGAGGCGTTAGGGCTTTTGCGGGACGTTTTGAAAGGGGATGCAAAGTTGTAAGGGCTGAGCCTAGAGTGTTGGGGTACTGTAATTTTATTATTACCACTGAAACAAAATTAGAATTACAGTCTTTCGTTGTGCACAACGATCAATTCTTCTAATATGGCCATTGAACTTTCACATACAAGCTCAGGAGGACTAATGGGCCGCCTGTATAGGGGGCTGGGAGATGAATCTTTCCGGAGCTGGGAAATGGCGAAGGGTTGACTCGCAGAAAGAGTACATGGCAGAACTTCCTTGATGTTCTGTGAGCTTGAAATATAATTTGAGAGGCTAAGTGGGTTCGGTTGTCAATTTATTTGCGACAGATTCCAAAGATGTCTTATTTACTGGAAACAATTGACGAAATACACGGCATTTTGTCACCTTATTTGAGGAAAGCTTTGTATTTCGACGACCACTAACATTGTCCACTGCTAAGGTGAGCACTCCGTTCCTCAGCAAACACTTGCTATTTCATCTCCATAGCTACACATTATCAGATTTGCTTCATTTACAAACCCCTCGTGTGTGTATATATATATATATATATATTTGTATGTGTGCATACTTTGTATGTCATGGAAAAGTTACATTATATTTTTTCTAACAAAGCCATTATATTGACAAATTCTCAGGTGAAGAAAGGTCTCAACCCCATGTATTTTTGATCTAAAAAAACTATTACAATAGTTTGCAAGTAACACATCAGAGACATCAGAGAGAAACAACAATGATGATATGCTATTGTGTCTGGTGATCACAATAAACAGTGGTGATTTGTAAGTAGTTGTTTTTGTTCTTGGTTTTGGGATTTTGCTTGTTCATGTTGAGCTGAATCTATGTGGTGCAGGTGACTTACCAAGTGAATAGGAACTTCCTTTTCATCTATCTACAACGAAAGACTATTGAGCTTCACTAGACTTGTTTGCTGAATTGGATGTAAGTTTGTCACCTGTTCTTTCATTGGGGCGCAGAACAATAGTAACTACGTTCACCTGTTCTGTATCCAGGCTCTTGTGTCACAGTACCTAATCCTAAGGTGAGGATGTTGAGGTGTTCACGCCTCTATAATAGTGTGTTCACTTCTCTACTACATAATTGCGTTATTCATTTGACACTCACTACGCTACGCGTGCTGGGTTAGAGGTGCGTGCCGAATCAGAGGACTGGGCCCATTGATAAAAGGGGCATAAATACTCACCTTACCTGAATCTTTCTTATCACAACTTCAACATTATTCAGATACATCAAGATCTCCCAACATGGTCTCTGCAATGAATGAAATGCAGTGTATTCGCAGCTCATCAATGGTAAGTACTTCTTCGTCAAATCGTTTCACCTCCCTAACAATGCCGCAGTCTAAACCTAGCACGTCAGCGCCAGGATTTTCCGATCTTATGGGAAATAGGCAAGAAATGACTATGGACATGTCCAACCAATATGCCAGCGGAGAACAATCCTTGGTGGATGACTATCCCACCATGGATTCGTCTTGGACCCGAAAATTCTACATTCAAACATCTGCCAACAATGTCACCACGGGTGACATCTTCGACGAAAACCTCTCGTACTCCGAAAACCTCTCACCGAATTATCATACTCAATTCGACATCCAATCATCCTTCCTGAACCAAACTCGCCTTAGTACTGCTACTACTCCAGCCGATGTACCAGACTCGGAAATTGAGGAGGAAATATGGGGAGACTCCAGAGAGGAGCATCGTGATATGAGTTGGAAAAGCGCACCTAAAATCCCCATGTCGGGATCTCCTCCTGTTCGACCGCAGATGAGTAAGTCTGCACTCAGGTATCCGACTGAAGGAGATTCGGACGCAGAAAGCCATTCCGAATTAGGGTCACCACAGCCATTCCAGCACGTCGGAAAATATAACGACTTTCAAGCCACGGGTCGGGCTTCCAGTACTTCTCAAGGTAGGGACAGAGACGGGTACTTGATGAGCAACTACATCTTCCACAATCCAACAAACTCGTTCCATTCTCGCATCCCAGTTCCAGTTGAAGGAGAGCCTGCAAATATCCATGAGAAAAGCGGGATATCTATCCGGATTAAGGAGGGCGAATTATTCCAAGTCCGCCGAAACTATCAGATGACCAAAGACCCTGATGTTTTCAGAAAGGTGTATCTTGCCTTCAGCGAATACAAGCAGTTGATGATACTCAGAGGAAAGCCAGAAAGAATCAGTGAATGGCCCAAGTATAAACAAAAGCCATTTCCCGGTACACAACGCAACCTTAGCAAAGAAGGAGACATCACTGGCACTGAGTCCAGTCTGTTCTCTCGACACGCCACTGCACTGAATCCTCTTGAAGACGGCAACGTTGATACCTCTGGGCTTACGCTCAACTCTCCGATCTTTGATGATGCATACTCGACTGACGGGGAATATTCGGACACGTCCATGTCTTCCGATGATGAAGATTCGTTTTCTCTACCTCCATTGCCTACAAGAGGGTCAAAGGGCACCATTCCATACAACAAGAGATTTGACCACGGCCAAATCCAAGCTCATCTTACGGAGAAAGAGATGTGCATTATCCGAAAAGGATACGCCCCCGACAACCTTCTCGCACTATCTTGTTTCAGAAAACCTCAAAGTCCCAGTCTTATAAATTCTTTGGCTGGACAACGAAACAATCCAGAAGTTACAGATATTCGACGAACTCGCATCACCCAGGCCGAGTGGACCAAGCTTCAAGAAATCAGAGGATACCCCAACGTCGTTTATGACGATGAGTACAAAGGCAGCATCTCCAAGGCTGACCGTGATCGTGGAAATTTCCACTTGGAGCAGCACCTTGAGAGGTTGAGACACGGTGATAGATCTCGCAATCGGCGTAGCAGCAAGGAAAAATTGCGCATGAGGAGATCGAAGCGTAGATCTCGCTCGTCCCAATGAGCAATCATTGAGTGCCGTGGAGAGCGGTTCCCATGAAGTTATATTTTCAGACGGAAAAGCTGGACAGGATGTTTTCTGTATTGGATCTGGGATTGGATACAACATCGTGAAGCAACATTTGTTTATTTCTGGAGAAGCTCGCGATTAGCGCTGGAGCATATGGTGATTATTTATTCAGGAAAAGCGGTTGGTCGTTGTTGTAGTAGTTAGCTTGCCTTCATCAGTATCTTACTGTCACTAAATTTCATAATGATTATTCCGCACCAATGTTCTAAATTGATTGTAAACTGCATTCCACTAAAAACGGCAAGACAGCGACGACTATATTGTGTTGAGAGGCTAATAAATCTATCGGTATAATGTGTCACCAAAACAGTTTGCTACCTCTAGCTCGTAATGAACAATATAAAGAAAGGGCAGTAACTTGTGGACCTCCTTACGATACGTGTTACGCTAGATCAACCATACTTTGGAATGAAATTATATTTGCCCAGACTTTGTGAGTAAACATGGATATTGCTTCTATTGCTCAGAGGAAATTCGCCTGTCAGAGAAGGAGTGTTACAAAGCCGGTTTCTGGCATTGGCACACTCAAAGGGTGTTCCTCCAATCTCGCAATACACCGGTGTAGATATTTTTTCGACTCATGCTCAGTAATTTCTAAACAGAGTCTAGAAATTGTGTCACGGAACACTATCTCGTATCTCTATTAATTTCTTTTCTTCATAATGAATATGGCCTTAGTTCAGCTTCCAGGGACTTTAGACCCTCAACCCCCGCTTTCCACGTACGATCAAGCCATCGCAGCTAATACAGTGACCCCAAAAAGTGACTTGCGTACGACAATCCAGCAAGTGTTGAACACGCCACACAATGACGACGCATTTCGTCAGCTGTCTTGGGGAGTAGGTGATTCACTCGGGACTGACCACTTCACGTGTTCACTGCTTCAAATCACTTGGATTTCTCTCCAAATACCGGCAGCAACTGGCTAATAAGGCATCCCTTAGAAACCTCATATCCAGAAAACGACGCGAAGCTTTGATATTCTGTGGCTCAGCCCACGCGCAAAGGCGACTAGGCATCTTGGCTAGTCGTGTAACATGACTCTTGGCAACGGTGCGTCCTTGCTTTAAAGGGGCGTAAGCGAGAAGAGAGGGAAGCTTCGAAGGTGCTTCGATTGCAAGATATCCTACCATTCTTCTACTCATTTCGAAAATGAAGACATATCGTAGTCTCCTTAAATTAAATTAAGTCTTAAGACGATAGCGCTTTTCACGCTTGAGTGGGATTTAACTTACAGTGATAGTTGAAAAGCACTAGTATTTATGTTGTCCAACCGGAGGTGGTCGCATAACAAACTTCACGATTATTATTATTATACGCCTGAGCAAGCTTATCTTGTGGGAAAGTAAGAATATTAAAGGGGTTGGTCTCTTATTAAGTGTAGTCTCTAATTAATTAACGTGAACGACAAAAAGTTGTGAGGGAGCCTTCTCCCTTGATAAATATACTTATGATCCCTTGTACGAAAGTGCCGGAAGCCAATCATACAAAGCTCGAATTAAACTCAACTTTCTCCCTAAGCGCCCTATTTGCCAAGTCAATACCAGATACTGCGAAGGGTATCATTTCAAGCGTTCCGTCAACTGCGTGTAATCAAATCCATCACCGTCTGTGACATCGAGTGCTTCCCATTCCCCTTCCTTGGTCCCAGGCGGCGGAGAAGGGCTATAGGTGCCGTGTTCGGTCGGCCGAAGGTCGTTGAGGTTCGAAAGCTCGTCAACGCTCTCGTGATGATCATGCCGCTCCTCGACCCAGTTGCTTACAGTTTCGTAGCCTTCTTCATCCAACTCTGCTGCATTGGCTTCAACTTTTGTGCTTGTGGGCTTGGCGATGTCGTCTTCGCATTCCGTGACTTCCCAAACCCTATCTTCATCGTCCTGAGCAGGAAGTTCAACAACCCATTCCAGCTCCTTGACACGCTGTTCAACCCCGCTTTCAGTCCACTCTTGCCTTTTCGATACTTCTTCGGCAATCCATACGTCTCCCTTACTATTGCCAGTGCCAATATCTTCCCATCCTCCGAGATGAGGTGTTGCACTATTGCTAGCATTTTGCAAAGCAGAATAAGCCCAATTAGAATTACTAGAATCAAAACTCTGAATGGCATTGCTGTCACTCCCACCATCCAACCCCCAGCTTTGATGCCCACTGTCAAATCCTGCCAGTTCAATTCCGGCATTACTGTTAACAATGAAACTTTCCAGATTCCCTGCAACATCAGACTCCACCAGTGTACTCTCACTGTCCACCGTAGCTGCACTTTCAAAACTGAGGTTGTCGCCTGGTATACTGAACTGAGTTTCAATTCCTAAACCATTCACGCCGTAAACAGATTGTTGGTGGGCGCCAAATGGGGACAGTAATCCTGCAGTGGCTAGCGGAGTTTCTAGTCCAATTTGTTGCTGTTGCGAGTGACTTTGTATGAATGGATCCATCACAGTATTTTCTAGAGTCCCTGCCATGAAACTGGTATTGAAATTTTCGCTCATATCCGCATTAAGCCTTTCACTATGTCCAGGATCTGGTGACATACAGTCATGGCGACTTGGACTTCCTGGATCTACATATCGCCATGTCGTACAACTTGATTCCCCATCTCTACTTTTACGAAAGGTCCAGAGAATTATGGCTCGCCTTTGGAAGGGCCTTCTCGGGCCAGGAGAACATTGGACTTCTTGGAACATGGAGATTTCATCCAGAAGCGACGAGGCGTTCAAGCCGGATAGGGAGGCCGGCCTTTGAGATAAGTCTGTCAAGGAAGTGAAGGCATGCGCCCATGCCATGGCTGGAAATGGAACTTTTATTCGAGTCTGCTGAGCGTTCATGCTCAAGACCGGAATGATACTCGTCTGATTGTCGATGATTGGGTCAACAGCTGGATCGCGGCATAATTCTGCTGGTTTGGATAGAGTCGTGGTAATCCGCCAAGTTGAGTTGTTAAGATATAGGTTGGTTTCTTGATCATGTTCTGAATTACGTATGGATATCTCTGTTCGACTAACAAGTTCGGCGCCTTCCGGTGGGTGTGAAGTCATTAATGAAAGGGCGACGTCCATGTAGATTATTTCGCAATTTAAAGATGATATGGTATATAGATGAAACAGCCGTGGAAACCGGGCTCTCCAGTTCGATATGGATTCGATAGAATCACGGGGTCGCTGAGACGACAGAGACGTGTACTTGTGTGCCACAAGGCCAGATTGATACAACTCTTCCTCGGTAGTGCTTCTCCCACTTGGATCGGTCGGGATCGAGCTTGATGTGATGAAAAGCCAGAAAACGTTAGGTTCCGTCTCGCCTTGAGGTGTGGCAGTCATACCCAACGTTTGAACGCACGTAGCAAAGTCCTCGGGTGATTGATCTGGCAATCTTCCCTCAGAAAGAGCACGCAGACATGGATCATTTTTGAAGGAATGATCGAAGCCGTTCTTTGGACCTTTGTTCTGTGGGAAAAGAGTGTGATCTGCAAAAAGTCAGAAAGCAAGGTTTTGTCCAAAGATAAGTGACTACCCACAAGCAGGATGATCTTTGAAGAAGGTCTTCAAGACTTGGATATGGCTAGATACTTGCTTCCGGCATCGTCTCATGGCAGGGTCCGGCGGCTGTCCTGGAGGCAGACTGCGGAGGTATGAAAGCCAGATGTATTCTCTAATTAATTCATTGCGACCATGGGCCTTGCCACGATACGAGTACTTTTGCCGGCCCATGTAGGGTATGTATACAAGCGCTGAAAATTATTAAAAGTAGGTAAATTGGATTTCGGAGGCTAACTTACCATCAAGAAAGGCCAGCTCCAAGACCTCTGGCCATTTCGCGTCATCAGGGTTACCCTCTCGGTTTTGCCTTGCCCTGTATGCGAGATATGGTGGCGAGTTGGCAAGTGGATTGCGAGTGTATCTCGATTGGCGCGAAGTTCTATGCCTTTGCCGTCGCTGTTCCCAGGTGTGACCTAAAGATTGTCGCGCTGAGGGCAATGATGGTACGACCGTCGGAATTGCGTACATAGTCCTCTCCGACCCATGTCGATACTCTTTATGATCATGGTACAGGTTGTCCTGAGCGAAAAGCTGGAGTTTTGAATTGCCTGCAGAGGCTGTCAAGGGTCGTCTTGATGCTGATTGTAGAATTATATTTGGCTGTTCATGCTGACTTGGGTAGTTGGATGGCACCAAAGAGCCGCGACTTGCCATAGATTAAGAATGCTTCACCTGACCAAAGTATCTATCTAAGCCCACACATTCGTAGAAGACGTAAAGGATGTGTGCACAAAGAGCTTCTGTTGGTTGGAAAACAATAAGGATTGTGCTAAGATATGCTTGATGGAATGGCAGCGGATTTTGGAACGCAAGAGATGTAAACGAAAGAATGTTAACAAGTACTGGAGAATGAAGGAGCAGATCACAAGCTTATAGAAGAAGAGGTCTCGCCCGCCAACTTGTCTAGACGAGTTGCTAAGATGCCATCGGACTTCACTCAGGGAGGCTTCCGCAACAGTGGGTCAACAGTTTGAATTTACTAACCTACGGCTGTACCTACATTGAAAGTATCGACGAGACAAGGGCGATTTTCCCAGGAGTCAGACTGGTCGAGTTCTAATCTGGCCATGCAAGGTTAGCCGTTTGCGGAGGAGTGATCAGCCGCATACACCCGGCTTTCACCATCAAAGGAATGCTTCATCTCGTTGGAGTATGTGGCAAACTTTCTGGTCCAATTGCAGCTTACTAGATATCCGTAGACACGACAACAGTCGAGAGCATGGGAATGCTACTCGTAATTAGTTATCAGACATCTAGCAGTCTGGACGTATACTGCGAACGCTATGCCCTATTACAATATTGTTTCCCTGTTCCAGAATGCAGACATTAATCTAGGCATTTCATTAAATGCCTACAATAATATCGATCTGTATTGGCACCGAGGAAAGCCAGGATACGCATGTACCAGTTGGCTTAATGTTGGTAGGGGTCGCTGGGGAGGAGTGCAGTGGCGGTAAGGGAGGGAGAGTGGTGCACTGTGACCAATTGCTGGGGCAACTAGTGGAAAGCGAGCCTATATCCTGAGAATTCCTCGCCATCTCAATCCTCGGCTTCGTTATCATTGCCTTCGATATTGAATCTTTTACGGCCCCCGCCGGTAAGCTTTCGCATGGCGACCTTGCTAACCTGACTTCCCACCTTCTTTTGCATTCTTTCAATTTCTTCTTCGGCGTCAATAGAGTCTTCCGCAGCAAACTCCAGCACGAGTCTTCTACCAAGCAGATGTGTATCTTTTAACGCTTCAAGCGCATTTTCTGCCTCGCGGGCCGTTATGAAGTCGGCAAACGCAAACCCCCGAGCCGAGTGATCGAATTTCTTGGGCATACGGACAGAACGCAATTGACCATACGTTCCAAATAAAGTGCGGATATCCTTCTTCGAGGCTTCAAATGGCAAATTCTTGATGATAATCTTTGTGCGCTTACCAGAGATCTTCTTAGCTCTGTCTTCCTTTCGTCGCTCCTCTGCCGCGTCAACTCCTTTATGCGACGCCTTGATCAAGAGTTTGTGATCGTCAAGAGTATAGCCATCCATTGCCTTCAATGCCGCTTGGGCTTGGTCCTTTGTCCTGAATTCTAGGAAACCAAAGCCCATGCTTAGGACTTGGCCAGGCTTTTTGGGATCTGTCTTTGTGTTGACCCGCGCCGAGAGGAAACCATCGAGTGGCTTGAACGTCTCTGTTAACCGGGCACTTGTAGTAGTAAAGTTCAAGTTGCGAACAAACAATGTTGTTGTATCTAGCCCATCGTTCGCACTCTCCCTCTCTAGAAGATCAGAAGCGGAGACCTTGTGGGCCGAAGAATCGGCTTCTTGCTGACCTAGGCTAGCAGGGGCGGCAGTGCTAGCTGCAGTGGTGAAAAGGTCCTTGGGTCCTTTTTCTAGATACAAGATAGAGTCCTTCATTCTGCGATATGCCAAGCTCCCAAATGCCGCTCGTGCATGGGTGGGTTGAGCAAACTCGACAATTGCAATAGTACCAGTCGGAGGCATCAAAACGCGAAGTACCTGCCCAAACTCCTCGAACATCTTGCGCAACTCTTCAAGCGTCATCCCATATGGAAAATTCTTAACGAGGATTGAAGTATCACCTCGCTCCCGCTTTTTAAACGCATTAATATCGACACCGTTCCTTTCAAAATACGACTTCGTGTCTTGGATAACCGATGTTTCTGCGATAGCCTGCTTTACACCGGCGTCTGCAGATGTTGGGTCCAGAAGCTCGGATTTTGAAACTCCCAATCGAGCAGCAATCGCAGTATTCACAGCATCTTGGTTCATGTATAATGAGTTCCAGTTAAAAGTCATCGATGATGCTTCCGCTTTCTTTTTGATCTGCTTCTGCTTTTTTAGGGGTAGTTTTGCGACGGCGAACTCATCAAGCTTGTTCTCCCGCTTGTTAGCAGCAGGCAATATATGCAGGAGTCTACCTTGGAAAGGCTCGCCGTCCAGCTGGTGAAATGCTTCGGCAGCAGATTCAGGGTTGGAGTACTGCACCAAAAGGAACCCTTTGCTCGTCCCAGAAGCATCGACTGCCAGGTGTATCTAGAATGCAAATCAGCATAAGAACTCTCCCAGAATTAATAATGATCAATGGAAAGATGTCATCATCTGCGTTCAGAAAATACGAAGCATCTACTAAAATAATCGTCCAGTTCACATCACATGCCGTAGCATAAGCTGTCCCTATCTGGATATTCATCATGTTGCAGGGAAATATACGGTGAAAATGATGTAGACATACTTCTTCAAGAGGCCCGAATGGCTCGAAATGGTTTCGAAGGTCGTCCTCCGTGGCAGTATAAGGTAAGTTCCGAACAAAAAGCCGGCCGTTCTTCGCAATTTCCTCCAGTACGGGATCAGGCTTTTCGGGTTCTTCTTCAAGTGGAACAACTGTTTGTTCTGGGGACGCCTCCACTTCAGGGGCTGGCGTTTTCTCTGCTAACTCAACCACTGACACAACTTGCGGTTGCGCTTGGTTTCCACCCTGAGCTTCTTGTATGGTATCTGGATCCACTAAGTCCAATAATCGATTTGTCCGACTTCGAAGCCAATCGTCATCCGTGGCAGTTAGAGGTACCTCTCGTGAAGGCGCTTCGATAGTTGCTGGCACAGCGGGAACATCCGTTATCACCTCTACAGGTATTGTAGGTGAAGGTGCTGGGGGGCTATTCTTCCTCTGGCGTTTTGGCACCATCTCATAATCGTCCTCGCTCTCAGCATCAGGAGCCTCGATGGCTTGTATCTTCGTAGGCGGTTGTTCCATGTCTTCCTCTCCGACCGGAGAAGCCCACGTCTTAGCTTTGGAGGCAGGCTGCATAACCTCCAAGAACTCTTTCAACTTCGGGTCCGCTTCATCGACATCGTCGCGCTTTCTTTTGGAGGCAGTGTTGAGCTCTGACTTTTTCAAAGATTCGTACTCCTTTCGTCGTGTGGCTGCATGCTCCCGTTCCTGTTCTCGTTGCGCCTTTCTCGATACTGGTAATGTCTGATCGGAGATCTGCGAAAATTAGTATTCTATCACACATTTCCAAGAACAAGAAGCATACAGGTCGTGCAAGTTCCACGCCAATCTTTGACATGCGAATAAACGACCGGTTGAAATACTTGACAGCCTTCTGAGCATCCTCTGGTGTCTTGTATCCTACGTATCCAATTCGTCGATGTGCAATCAATTTCGCGTCTGTGATTGCCGACTTTGCACTGAAATGCTTCTTGAAATCATCTTCCGTGATTGCAGGTGGAAGCCCTGTGATAAAAATCCTAGATGACTCCATTTTGACCAAAGTGACGCAAAGAAGACGTTGGAGGAATCGAAGAAGGATTTGCGGACCAGCGAAAATACGTCGAAGTGGATCATTTAGAAAAATAAAAGTTCAGCCCGCAAAAGGCGGTCAGTCGGTCTTTAAACTGCCAGCTCAATGGGGAAAGGTGCTAGCATGACAGCTGCATGCTTAGGGAGTCTGGAACTAAATATCCTTGGAAATCAACAGAGGAGACGCAAGCATATCATCGAGTTCTGGGAAGTTCAACGGCCGTCATTACAAAAAGTTGTGGTAAATTACAAAGTCTTCTGATTTGCTACTTAATGCTACGACTTTCCATAGCATCACGACAGGCTTTATCCATACATCCAAGCTCCATCCAGGATCAAGCAGGCAAACAACACTCCAGTCGCGAAACTTGACACAGCTCTTTATTCAGTTTCTCTTGCACAAACGATATCATGGCGTCCGAAAAGGGAGCTACGAAGGAGAAGCTCGAGGGTAAGATTATTTTCCTACCGTTGCCATTCATTGACAACCGATTTCTTTCATCGCCAGCATTCTTCCTTCCATGTATGCTAATTTCTGTCAACAGCGCAAATCAAGTCGGCAGATATGGTGTGTTGCAATCTACGTATTCCTATTTATGGAACCACATGACTGATGCTAGACAGACCGAAGATATGCAACAGGAAGCTATTGACATTGGTAAGTCTATATTCATACACGCGCTCAGCACAGACGAGCATAGACAGTCTGAGCATTCAACTCACAAATCATAGCACAAGAGGGAATGTCAAAGTTCACAATTGAAAAGGTAGAGATTACCCCTCCTTTACCCCTCATTTCCAATACCATATACTAACAAAACTCTAGGATATCGCTCAATTTATCAAGAAAACCGTTCGTCTCCCTTCGAGCATGGCATACAACTATAGTATCTAACACGTCCCAGTTCGATGAGCGTAAAGGTCCAACATGGCATTGTATCGTCGGCAGAAATTTCGGATCCTTCGTCACCCACGAAACCAAACACTTCATTTATTTCTACCTAGGGCACTGCGCCATCCTCCTCTTCAAGACGCAGTAAGAGTAGCGAAATTCACTGGAGCATATGACGACCAATTCTCCCAAAACACGGCGCACATATTTGGATGGCTGGATATTGGGAACTGGGAATCGAAAAAACTTGCGAGCGAAATTTAGGGCATGAATTGACAGCGACAGCGTTGGGTGATGGGCGATATAGGAATGGATGATGTGTAATGATATCTGCGGAAATGATTTTGGTCTGGTGGAAGTGGACGGGGAAATGGGGCCTCGGATTATGCTAATGCCATTACATGAACTACTGAAACCACCATCTCGGAATGCTGCTTTTCCCTGAAGACAAAAAAGTTACAATTTCGGATCTGCTATTCAGAACCTACTTACCATCCCTGCAAAGACGCATATCCCGCAATTAGAACCCTTTCATCTCCAACGTGACTCTGCTGGACGCATTGATTGGTATCAAGAATTCGCCTATTCCTTGCCATTTTCCTTCCTACCATTCTGGCTCGACAAATCGTCATCCTCTCTGACCATCAGGAGATAAAGTAAGATCGAACCCTCAATTTGTGACAGCCAACAAGCTAGACGAGATCCTATAAAACACAATACCTGTGAGAAATCATCAACTCATCAATCCATGAAACAGTTCAAGCACCAATTAACCTCTCCAGCAAAAGACATCGACACAGCCCAGACCCTTCTCCAGTGAAACCAGTGAAACCAATCGAGCCCAAACCCATACACTCACCGAACGATCACAAAGCCTCCCCTTTCTTAATCCAACATCACCTCACCTCACAACACCATTCAACTAACAATCACAACCCCCCTCCCCAAAACCCGCCCACCAAAAACACCCTCTCCCTCCCTTCCGACATCGCTCCCCCAAGAATCTAAGACCTCAAAAACAGAATACAAATTCCACAAGTACCTACTGTTCCAACTTAGAACAAAGAGAAAAGCAAAAATGCGGGGTAGCTTTTTTCCCACGCCTCAAACACACACACCCAACCCCACCACGAACAGAACAAAGGAAAGGAAAGTGTTGGTTCATGATTAAGAACCTTAAGTGATTCCACATTGAAACATCAAAGAAGACTGAAACATGTATGTCAACTATTTTCATATTCTCTCTAATTCAGGTGGGTATAGTATCATCGCCATCCACACCCATTTCAACATTGCAATCTCCATTCTTCAAAATCTCAAAACTTCAATCTCCCCAATCATCCTCTCAAATACACATTTTTTTCATCATCCTGTCGATATGTGGTTCAATCATGCACCATTCCTTTATTCAAATAAAACATTTCCGCCTGGCTCCATCGGCTCAGGGTCCGTAGACTATAACTCCTGGGGGGGGGCCATTACTCCAATATGAACATGACCTGATGAGAAGGAAAAAACCCCAACTCCTAATTCTCCTATGCAAACATTTGTCGCCAAGTTCTCCTGATTTGAAAGTTTATACACAAAACGCCCCATTCCATGCCCTTGGGTTCGCCCGGAAAATGCTTAACAAGAGATGCCTACTCAATTAAGCAGCAAAGAGAAAATTTCGTATTCAGTAGTACACCGTGTCGTTCAAATTTCATCCAATTACATTTCGACGATTCCTTCGTTGATCTGCTGCTTCATTTTCGCCAATCGTTCGTGCATGTCTAACAGTGTTTTCTCCTTTTTCACGTCTCGATACCGGGAGTTGGCGAGCTCGCGGTGAAGTTCCTCGTACTTTGGATAAAAGCTTCGGTATTTCCTTGCAGTATCAACGAGTTCTGGCTTAAGATATCGCGTGGACCCATTGGATGAGCTGGAAGAGGTGACCGAAGAAGATTTGTGGTGTCTTTTATGGATTGGCGAACGAGAGGTTTTATTACCAATATACGGCGCGGGTGAAGCGGAAGATGATGAAGTGGTGCGACGGCCAGAATTATTATCGAATTCCGAGGCATTGGTTGGTGGTGACGATGCCAACGGAGAAGACTTGTGAGGTGAGGTATTCTTGTTTTTAAACGAGTTTGATGAGACCGTCGAGTTTGACGTTGCATTTGAAACTTGGCTGGCACTAGCAACACGTTGAGGTGGCGGTGGTACATCTTTTCTGACCTTTTTGCTAAGCGGAATGCTCGAATCACTGGTTTCTGTCTCCTCGTCTCTAGGTCTCTTCTTCGCTTGGACGGGTTTAGGAAGAGGTTTCTTAGATGGCTGTGCTGGCTTGGTTTGCAATGGCTGCGATGCCTGATCCGCCTCCTCATCCGAATCAATTATCAACTCTGAAGAGAGCACCTTTTTACCAGAAGGTTTAGCTGCCTTGTCCTTCTTGGCGGGTGCGGGTGCTGGCCGTGGGGAAGCTGCTGGCTTTGCTGCTGGTTTGACTATTGGCTTATTAAGTTTGTTGGAGAGAAGTCGTTTAGTTTGAGCTTCCTTCTCACTCGTCTTCCTTGGTTTCGTGTTGGCGGGCTGTGAGGATGATCGTGCCGCCGGCTCTCCCTTTCTAACCTTGGATATAGCTTTGCTAGCGATAGAATCGTCTTCCTCTCCCGCCGAAGTGTCTCGTCCCGAACCTTCATCCTTCTGCAACTTTATCTTTGGTGGTCGAGCTGTTCCCTGCGCGATTTGAGCTTGGAGCTTGCTTAAACATTTGCCCTGCCCGCGTTCTGCCTTTGGTAATAATCTATCCCATTCGGGTTCCGTGACGCCAAGGCGTAGATTATCAAACTTGGAGACGGCGTTGTCGATTGCTCGTTGCCGATCTTCTTGGGTCGCATAATCGTAGGTCCATACATCCAGTTCCCTCCAGTACTTCTTCGTCAGTTCCCACTTGTTTCCTTTGGCATCAGCGACTTTCTCTAATGCTTGGTCAAAATCATTGTCAGAAACTTCTGGGAGAGCTTCTCTGAGTGCCGCCTTTGTCATTGGACCCGTAGCAAGTAAGTGGATGACTGGCTTTCTGGAAGCTTTCGCCTTGTCGGCAGCAACTTGGGAAAGAGGAACAGATGTGGGCGCCAACGCAGGAGAGCCAACGCCAGATAACGCTGGGCTTACGGGTGTGGAGCGTAAGGTATCAGCGCCGAGGCGGTTGCTCGCGAGGAGTTTCTTGTTAGCAGCCTTCGCAGCACCTTTGCGCTGGCCTGGTAATGCGGGAGCATTGGTGATGAATTTGGTGCTGTGTGTGGTCAGTTTGGATCTTGAATTGCACGACGCCGATTACGTACGTGTTGTCTGCCTTTCTTTGACCTTCAGAAGCCAAAGAATTCTGCAATTGAGCTAGAGCAGTGTCTGCGCCAGTTGTCGAGGCAGTAACATTTTTGGGCTTGCTACTTGCGCCAACCGGTTTAGGTACGCCGAAGAGGTTCGGTCCGAACAATCGAAGGTACTGGTGTCGAGTGAAATGTCCAAGCTTTTCTTCGCCATACTGCTCGGAATATGACATGGTTTCGGTATCGGAGGAAGAATCGTCGTCGTAGTCGGTGTTGGTGCTTTGGAATAATTCGGTAGTGAAGGGATCGTTCGACGTGGAAAGATGTTGGGTTTTTGTGCCGTAGACCAAGCTCTAATGGTGAAGACAATAGTTAGCATTCAATTGCGTTCACTGCGACGTGCTAATTCCTTCCTATTCTCTCGGCAAGGGTCCGGTTCCGACCAAAGGTGAACATATGACGAGCAGAGCCATAGTGAATTTGGCACCAAAAGACCACCAGAAAAACTGAACGCTTACTGGTTGTGGTCCCAAGGACAATTGAATGGGTTGTCCATTTTGAACACATTTGATCATATCCTCGATCACAGTATCGGAAATCGTGAGACCGAATGCTGTTGGGGGAGCAGAGAGGCCGGGCTTCGACGAGCCTCCTCGGGCGCTCCCCAGCGAGATGCCGGTCTCTGGGATCACGAGAGATGCCATGGTGCAAGATGTTCGAGCGAGAAGCTGTGCAAGAGGTTCGAAGGCGGGCGTGTGGTGTATTTCGTAGTTGGCTCGCTGCCGGAGTCACGACCGTAGGACCTCAGATCCAACTCGACATAGAGGCGATGTCACGATGCACGATGCATCTAGAAGAGAGGAAGCACGTCTGCGAAGGCAGGGCGGAGAGGACGGGCTCGTGGTTGAGGGGGGATGGTCTGCAATCAGCAACAAAGAGATGCTCGAGTTGTGAATTGTTTGAATAATTGTTTGTCAGAGAGTGAATGGTTGTCGATGTGAGGGGATCTTTGTTTGGAGAGCGGACGAGGCGTTGACCTCAGCCAGGTCAGTTACACTACTAAAAACCGCCCAGCCAACCTTAGCCCGAACGGGCAGTGTTCGTCCAGGGGGCCCTGGGCAGACTCGATGGAGGACTGGGACTGGACTGGGACTGGACTGGACTGGGACTAGAACTGGAGTTGGGACGCTGGAGCGGGAGCTGGCCACACGAGTTGGGAGGAACAATTGATGAATGGTTGGATGGAATAAAGGCGTTGTGCTGGTGCTGGTACTGTTGCTGCTGGATGTGAATGGTGTCGCTTTTCGGGCGTCGACGCTTCACTCTTCTTCTACACGGCTTTCTCGCTTTCTCGCTTTCTCCCTTGAATTTGCCTTGCATCACATTCTGTCAGGTGTTATAGTTATGGAACGTTGCCGGCGTTTTGCCTCTCGATGAGTCTGCCCTTCTGCGTGCTCGCTGCTGGCCGTACGCATACAGCGGTGCTTGTGCCAGCTTGGTTTGGCCTGCAAAGTGTGCCAAAAACATCCTCCGCCAGCGACTGAGTGCATGCTGACGAGAGAACCAGCAACCGTCTCAACCCGACTGGAAACCGGCCCTCATAGACTGTTCCTCGACGTCTTCGTTCCCATTGTTCCACGCATCTCGATTACAAACTACCCCCATCCACCCTTGCTTTGCTTGCTTTTTTCCCTTGAGCGTGGACATCATCGTCATAAGTATCATCATTCAGCCCAAATCTATGGAAGCACGGGATCTCGCAGTCAATTGATTTCTACCACGTCGATCCACCCTCTTTCCCTCTTTCTCGGATCTCGTGAATGCAGCAGGCGAGAATTAATTGCGTTTTGTTCCTGAACCGTATAGACGTCCTTCCCTGGACTATTATCCGGAACCCCGTTTCTGATGCAAGCCAAACCCCAATCTACATGCTGTCACTTGATACTACTTTTGAAGTATTGACCGGAGCAAGTCTCTCCATGGAATCTGAATTATCCAAACGCATACGGACAATTTAGCACTGACTAGACTCATTCGAGAGAACGTCCCTCTGGCGCTCGATAGCAGCAATGGGGCCCAATGTTTCTTATGACCATTTTCAGACACAGACTCTCTTCAAGTACGCACCTGTAGGTATAGGAAGAATATTCCCAAGTACTCGTCGTACAATCCTCGATTTCAAACAAGTATTGTGCATTTCAGGCACGAATTACACAGTTTGTGCACCCCTCGCTGGCCGCGGTACTCTTGAAATATCATATCATTCGCAGGGACTCCTCCAACGCAGCTCGTAGAACCATTTTAAGTCATTCGTACCCCGTTAGTTCGCGCCCCGCGCTTCCCTCCAACATCTCTGGTCAGTAGTCGCGTTCTTCTGTCTTGATCGAATACCAGCCGATCTCCTCGTCTCGACAACGTCCAGGCGACGGACACCCGTTCAAGGGTTTCCTGGTCCCGTCCCCAGAACCATATATTTCGCCAATAGGCTGCCCTCCTAAGTCCAAAGGTGTGCGACTCCGAGTGCATGCTGCCGAATTCGATTACGGGGACCTGAAATCCCACCTCTTCTTCACCAACATCAAGATCCACTATCTCTGCCACATTGAAAGGACTGGTCCGTTCTCGACAGCATCATGAATTCATTCAAACAAATAATCAACCAGGATACATGGTTAGCGGCATAGAGCCGCCCTTGCATCAGATCCTGATCGGAAAGCAACATCTACCCGCTTCAATCACTTTATACGAAGTAATTGAGGATTCGGCTGTGTTGTATTAAAACAGACCACTACTCGCCTCCTTCGAGTGATTTCACATCTGTTACAAAAAGGCTGCTTGACTCCGGCACGGCATACTAAAGCACACCGCATGACATCTTCACCACAAGGCCAAGATCCATCGTGAAGAGCTACGGGAGACTCCTCGGATCACCCTTGATGATCATCTTCAGATGGGATCACATATCACTTACTTAAGTCCGAATTGAAATCGACCCCATCTTCAGAGATGCTTCATGTATGATTCTTCTCAGTACCGTTCTGGTTACGACCTCACTGCATCAAGAAAGGGCCGAAATGTCAGCATTACAAAAGACTGCGGCGCAAAGCCGAGAATGACTCGATCCGGCGTGAAGCATTGTCGAGATGTCACAGGAATAAAATGTATTGTTGTAAGGCATTATTTATTTTACTCTTCTGCTGCAACATGATCTCGTGGCACAATCTTCATTTCTCATGAAACAGTTAAAAACTGAGCATCTGGTCTCCATGTCTTGACATTTGTCCTTATAATTTGAAGCTGGCGAGCTCTCAATAATATGGCGCTTGCGAACAATTGCCTAGTTCAACTTGAGGCTGTCCGCCATTTCGGCATCGCCTTGGGACTGCTTCTTCGTTACCAACGTCTCACAACCAATGAAGTAGCGGTGCAGACATATCCTCCCTCGGAACTTGTATCACTGCAGTGCCAAACCGAGAGTAACATCTGGTCCAGAGACTTTCCACTCTAGGTCTTTCGTCGATTATCGCTCGTCCACATCGACACGAGTTTGTTTCGTTACGATCGAGTTACTTGGCAAGTTCCCGCCCACCATCTTTCCGATTGAAGAAGCTGCTTGTATTCTTCACCAATCAGCAGCTTGAGTGATTTCAATACATCTCGGTATCTGAGAGATCCACGTCTAATACCTCCTTCCTTTCTCGACAGTATGGGCAGATGAAATGAATTCGAACGTGTCGTCTCACGCCAAAACACCAACGAAGCGAACCGAAAACCAACATCTCTTCACCAGGTGCGAGTCTTGATAGCAATGGTCCTCACAGCATGATAAGGCTGATGTTCTGCATGGATTCGGTGCATATCTCAGGTACATGTTCAGTTCCCTCTTCTTAAGATGTCCATTATTAGCTGGACGCGATGTTGGTAGAATATGTTTGGTCAAATCTAAAGTAATATCAACCAATCAACTGCCAAATTTGGGGTCAAGCTCTCTACAGCTCGGGATCGAGCCGGCTTGTGAGCTTTCCTGTTTGACAGTATTTATATATCGTATACACTTAGCTAAAAGTCTTCTCGTTTCATCCTATCAGCACAGAAGCTTTGAATCAACGATCTCGAAACATACTTGGCCATCCTCCCACGAGAAACAAATCCTCCAGCAGCAGACTCGCTTGAACCCTCGAGGATTACCTCGTGCCACCACATCTCCAGCAACACAACCTCGCAACCACATGATCTCAAGGTTAAAAAGCGCCCTGCAGATCACAGAAATTCTATAATCGGATGTTGTTAGGCTTCTCTCCTGCTTCTCATTTACCGCTGCACCCCGCGAAGAATCGAGGTTTGAATTGTACCTTTTCTTCCAGCAAATCGTCCTTCCCAACCACCTCGAAGAATCCCGTCCAGGGTGTACGAGCATGAGGTTTTACCCACCAAGCCTCGGCCCGCCTTTTCCTGCAGGTCACATCGGGTTGCTTCCCATTTCGTAAGGTGGGGTTTGCACCACGAGAGCTGTGTTCGAACATGACAATTTTTCTGGTTTCCCTCAACATCTGTCACCACCAACACAGTATGTTTCCTCAATTGAGCAATTACAACAAATACTAATCGTACAACACATTTCGCCGCTGTCACTCTTCTGCTAATAGATTAAGCTTAAACAAGTCGAATAACCGATGTACATACTGTTGTCATGTTACTAAAAACAAACCCTCCACCGCTGCCGCATCTAGAATCGCCCCGCCGACCAGGGCTTTGCCAATTGGAAACTCATCCTCTGTTCATCCTATGTACCTACCCGGCCGCCCGGAGGCGATATGGATACTGGTACAGTACTTGTACTCGACATGAACACCACGATACTCGAGATACCAAGATACTCCAGGCACCTATATCTTCAGAGGGCTTTCTCTTGGTAAGTGAGTTACATTATGTGTGAATTCGCCTGTGGAAATTTTATTGTCTATGCTGAAATCTATTTTCGGATCCGGCAATGGCAGAAGTTTACTGTTACATTCCAGGTCAGATCCTTCTTGGCATCACGTTTCTCCAACAGTAAGGGATATCTGGATTCGCTTGGCCAGCTGTTGTCTTTCACAATTACTGATTGTAAATTGGGATCTCCATAGGAGGTAAATATTGAATTCCTCGTGATCTCATGTCTCGGCTTGCTCCCGAGATATGCGGGAAATATTGCACATCGAGCCGCGTACTAAATGGTGTACCCCGGCCTTCGGGCTGCGATACGGGATCATTGTTTCGCCTGTTGCCGAACCGGAGAACCAGGAGGTCGTACACTGTCTAGACGTCACCACCATCAGACTGCATCATTGACAATTATTAGTGTGATGTCAATTCTCAGGTACCGCTCTGGTAAGCTCTTGTTATTCTTTATTTTTGTACTTTGGAAAACTCACTTCATTTCGTTGATGCTATTTCCTGTCCTCCAATTGATCAGAACTCTTTTTGTGCTATTACTTATTACAAGCGTCGCAGCCATGAGTAGCTTCGGAAAGGCTCACCAGAACTTGAATGGTAAGTTCTCCTATTTTTACAGATTTTACTTCGTTGAAGAAGACGCCTCGAGGGAGAAATCCAAGCTCTGGGATAGCAATTGCGGGTTCTAGGAGGATGTAGAGTGGAAACATACTAATAATCGGAATAGTGATGAAGGGGCCCCTTCTCCAGTTCAGCAAGGAGCCAATGACTGGATTTTACCGCGATGGATACTGCAATACAGGTCCAGAGGATAAAGGAAACCACAGTGTTGCCGGTAAGCAGTTCCTTCGGGGACCCACCGAATAGCTGGAAAAAGGCCAATTTTACATCCGATTTACAGACTAACACATACCTCCTCCCAGCAACCCTAACAGACTCCTTCCTCGATTTCTCCGCCTCCAAAGGCAACAACCTCCGTCAAATCGGCCTCACAGCAGGCTGCAAATGGTGTCTCTGCGCCAACCGCTGGAAAGAAGCTCTCGAGCATGCCAAAACCACAAAAGACGATCCTGCCACCCAGAGTGTCGTTCCTAAAGTACACTTGCACGCAACACACGAGCGCGCATTGGAGGTGCTTAGTATCCAGGATTTGAAAGCGCATGCGTCGGAAGGAGAGGCTGCAAATGCTAGGTGAGGAAACTCGGAGTTTTGCGTTGAATGCGTGGATGGCTAACGATTGGATTTATAGTACCGTTGCGCAATCGAGGAATGGTAATGGACCTGGCGGCGTTAAGACTGGAGAGACTTCCGAGTTGGCAAATCCTGATGAGATGACTGCGAAGAGTACGGCCGATGAAAAGGATAGGACTCCTATGTAACGATGTTAACCAATAAATTGTATTTGTATGTTAATGAACGCATGAAACAAAGGTCGAATTGTCGAACAACACTGCTGGAAAGTTTGGAATAGACATGTGTGACACCCGAAATGCAGCGTCTGCTCGTAAGTCGCATTTCTCCTTCTCGATTGGTTCTAGGGAAGCCACCTGAAGCTGGTTTTTCACGAGATTCGACTACACAAATCTCTTTGGTTTTGATGCTGTTTCTTTGACACTCCCCTCACATTACTGTTCTCAAAGCTTCTTAGCTTTCTACCTACATCGCATATTTGCTTTGCGGCGTCCGAATTTCACAAGTGGTCAAGCTCTTGGTCAGTGAAGCAGTGAAGTACCGACACAACCAAAAGCTCAATTCCTCACTTCGCCAGGTCCGAGCAAAACAGCTTTTTACCTTGTTCTCGGTGGATTCTTGCTTTTTTATATGAACGCTTCGTCCCTTATCAATCCGTATTTCGACGGGTTTTCCACATTCGATTGTCGGTTCTGAGCAGTAGCAACCTCCCCTCTTTCGAAATCCTGGGCGTCTATGAATTTCTCGGAGATTCTAAAGTACTGAAAATGTGGTTAAAAGTCCTGTTCGTGGTATTTTTCGATTGCAACAAGATGTTTGGTTGTTCTTGATTCATTCACTTACTCTTCACACTCTGATATACAGCATACATCCCCAATCAGCAAAATTTCCTCGACATTGCGTTGCTTTCGCAACTTCTTCAGAGACTCCGGATCCCTATGTTGCTTATTTCAATTGTCAAAGCATCGCATTCTAAGTTTCTGCCCCTCCCCCCCTGAACCCCGCTCAAATCTCCGAGCCCTTAGGCGAAAAAGTAGTTGACCCTTATTCTGATGCCCTCCGAACAGATCTCTCCTCAACAGTGGATTCCATCTTAGAAATTGGAGTTTTCTGATTTGTTTTGTGATCACAATGTTCGGGTTGAGTTGCTTATGTTGGTTAGGGCGTGCGAGTTTAAAGTTCTGATTCGCTACTGGCTGACACAGGCAACTAAGGTATCTCCCTAGGGTTTGTTCGTAAGGAGCTCACCTATCTCAAGATTTGAGCCTTGTACGCGGTGTGCATGGATGTTGAAATGTCATCTGCGGACCTTTAGTGAGTTGAGCGATACATGGGTAGTTGTATAAGTAACTGCTTGAACCTTCCTAGGTTTTTGGAGTGGTGCTCAGTACTTGAACGTCTCACTTGTAACTTCTGCCTAGTTCACCCTCGACGACCATTCCCCCAAACACCATGAGGTATCAATTTATCTTTGCCGCACTCGTCAGTACGGCATTAGCATATCCATCAAAAAGAGACAACATCTGGATCGAACCATCATGTGAAGATCGTAAGTCCCTCCTCCCAACCCACACCACCAAATCCCTAACACAACCAAGGCCGATCGCCCTGCCCTATGGTAAACACCTTAGCAAACCACGGCTTCCTCCCCCGCAACGGCCTCAACATCTCCATGTCAGACCTCGTAACGGCCTTCAATGACTCAGTCAACCTCGCCTCGTCCGCCACCCAACTCGTCGGCGCAAAAGCCCTCACCACATCCTCCACCAGCAACACGACCTTCAACCTCGACGACCTGGACAAACACAACATCATCGAACACGACGGCTCACTTTCCCGCGCCGACATCTTCTCGGGGGACAACCACTCCTTCAACCCCGCCATCTGGGCCAGTGTCGCCGCGTTCTTCACCGAACCGACAATCTCCATCGCCACGTCGGCCGCGGCGCGGAAAGCCAGACTCGCTGCCGCTGCGGCGGTTAATCCGGCGTTTAATTTGACGGCTGATGGCGCGCAGTTTAGTTTCATTGAGTCGGCGTTGTATCAGAGTGTTTTTGGGGATGCGGTGGAAGGGAATGCGGTGACGGAGTGGGTGAACGTGATGTTTAGGGAGGAGAGATTGCCGTATGAGGAGGGTTGGAGGAGACCGAGTCAGGAATTGACGATTGCCGGGATTTTGGGTTTGGTTGGGAAGATTGCTGCTGCTTCTGTTTGAAGGGACGGGAGTGGATGGGGTGTAAATACTGTATAATTGGATGAATAAGAAATGTTCAAGAAAAGAAGCTGACATTTGTGAATGCCGTGCAGTAGTGTCACAATATTATGCCTGGGGGCTGTGATTAGAGTGCGAGTGACGTTTTGTGGGGAAGTGTTTTCGTCGGTATTGAGAAGTGATAATATTTCGTGATCCAGTAAAGGAGAGGTATCTCAAACTTCTTTCCAGGCTTAACAGCGGGCAAGAAAAGTGGCAGTAAACGCCTGAATTTGTCACCTTAAGCTGTTGCTGAGGTCTTGTTCAGGTTCTCAGTTTCAACAAGTTCTAGACAAACAGGAATATGGAAGTGTCTTAATTCGTGAAAATAATAGACGAAATACGCATATTCAGTCCATTGAATTGAAGAACCATTTTTTTCTGACTGCAAGTTATATTTTAAACCACAACCTGGAAGGTTTCGTGGGCTTGAGCTTCACATGAGTGACATGGAAACTCATAGTAACAATGCGCACTTTCAGATAATCAATACGAGACTTGAAGTAGCGGGGGAATGGAGAACTTTGAACTGATGGAGGCTTGCCGGATGAATAGCTACTGTTTCGAGAATATTATTATGAACACTCAAAAACACAGGTTTGGCGAGAAGTTTTTTGCTTCACGGTGTTGCAATGTCAAGACTCCAAATTGTGCAGAACGTGGAAGTGGAATGGAAACTGCGAGACAAGAAACTGGCCGCGGAAGATTGAGAACATATTTTTCAGGTATGATATAATCAATTGTCGCTGGAGATACAATACGGTGTGACTTATGACACCCCCAGAAACGTTGGAAATAGTTGAAAATAATACATACGTTTGGCTGTTGACTCGTTATGAAGGCTTACTAACAACATCTCGAGTCAGCTAAAAGATGACAATTGAATCCCGCCTTAAAGACAAACGTCTCCCACAAAAGAACAAAACAACAGCTGCAAACAAGGAAGTACAAGCAATTTGAAGCAAACACATCGCATCCGCATTTGATAGTTGAAGCTTCCCAAAATACACCTCTGCCATGGGTCCTCGTACGCCTTGTCGTATACCCTCTCCAAGAATGGAAGGTGGGGAAATGTCGCCCCGAGATGCCACTCTCGGCCGTCTTTTTCTGGTTTCTTATTTTTATCAGCAAGTTAGTCAGAGTGACTCACGACAATTTATCATTGTATCTGTACATCGGAATAAGAGGCGGAGCTGAGTTTTGCATACGGAGCTCGGAATGAGTGAGCTTTGTCAAGCTTAAAAAGACTCATCGCCTGCATTTCTAAAGTGGGTGAATAAATTTCTTTGACATAGAACCATAAGTGAGAACAGCTTCAAATTCTTTCAAATTTTGCCAACACGATTTTGTTCTCGAAACCCAATAAAACGTCTTTACTCGACCTCGAAACTTAGAACAAAAGACACACCACAATGTCTCTCACCGCAGCGGGCAAGACGTCAACCCAAACCACCCTCACCGACAACACAAAACCAAAAGTCATCATCCGTGAAGCTCGAATTCGCGATGCATGGCAAATCGGATACCTCTCAGCGACAACCTACCTCGGCACCGACCTCTTCAAATATCTCACCCCTAAAGCGGAAGAGCACTTTGGCGCATACCTCCTCAACAACCGAGTCCGAGCCATAAACCGCGTGCTCAACCACCGCAACATCACCTTCGTCGCCGTCGAGGAAACCAATCCTGGTCGCGCGGTCGGCTACACCATCTTGACTCGCTTAGGCGACGACGAGGGCGCGCAACGCCAGATTGCCAGCCGGAAAAGGTGGTGGTTGACGCTCGCGGCGTGGATTTGGTCGTATTTCATGCCGCTCATCACGAAACTGTATACGGGCAAAGCGGATGATCCTGAGCATATCGCTGAGTTCTTGCGCGTTGCTGATCTAGAGGAGAAGACGCACTTCGCGTCGCGTCCTGAGTTGGCTAATCGGTGGTATGTGCAGAGTTGTGTTGTGTCCAAGGAGTTTCAGGGGAGGAAGATTGGGAAGGCGTTGATGGGGGAGGTTACTAAGAGGGCGCAGGCGGAAGGGGTTTGTGTTGGCTTGGAGGCGAGTGCTCCGGGGGAGATGATGTATCGGAGTGTTGGGTTTGAACTCATTGCAAGGTTCCAGCCGTTGAAGGGTATGGATTATGGAGCCGAACATAAAGGTGAAGCTGGGGGAGTTATGATTTGGAAACCTGAGGGCTGGAAGTATGACTGAGATTAAACTTGCTGAGATGTATAGACTTCTCGTCTGTAACCTTGTCGCTTGGGTTCCTTCATTCCAGCAGTATACTTCCTTCTCTTCTGGTTGAAGTATGCACCAACCCCGACAGAACTTAAGGCCGGCTGCCTAGGTATTTCCAGAAAAATGCCTGGGAAGCGATCCTCTAGATATTGAGTAGTTCTGATCCGTCTGTGGAGCAAATGCTGCGCCGCTGAGGAGACTGTTATCAATGAGATTGTTTGGAGGGATCACGTCTCTTCTTCTGAATCAGATACGTATGTGAAGGAGAGGATACTCGTTAGGATCAGTGGGGTTTAGAACTCGAAGCTGAAGACATTTTGACATCGTTATTCGTTTTATCAAAACGCTCATTTTAAATGTGTGGAATAGCTATTTTCTGAATAGGATAGAGTTGTTGATTATGAAAATGTGATGAGATTCATGTTATTCAGGGCACATTGCGGCTGTTGGACAAATTAATCAGTCTAGTGTTTAGCAGTAAGCACACTATGAGAAATTGAACGTGATACAAGGAGATGGCAACCGAACATCATGGTTGATATCATTCCAGTACTCCAGACGCTGGTTATCTTTTCACAAAGTGTATCTTTGATGTTACTTGATTTGCCTAATGCGAATCGACCGGTGACGGGTCAGTATTTTCACGTCAGCTACAGCCTACCCGGTAGAGGGCACAGATCACACCTTACAACAACACAAATCACCTCAGACCCAAACGATGAGGAATTATCTCTGCTAAAATTGCAGTCTATCTAATTTTACAGACCTTTCCCACCCCGAATCTAAGCTATCAATCCAACCACCCATCTAATCTAGACATCTAAAACTTGTAAACCTGATCCTTGCTGTAGCCGAGCTGCTCAAGAATAGCACCATCAAGCTCACCCTGGTCAGAAGGTGACTTCTTTGCGCCGGAGATGGCCTTGTACATAGGTGGTGGACCGCAGACGAAGATCTTGATGTTCTCGGTCTTTGGCTCAGGTAGGACGGTCTTCAATACTTCCTTGGTGATATAGCCGGTGTTTCCATTCCATTCCTTTGGCGCCTTGTCGAGGGTGTAGAATGCACGGAATCGTTGAGGGTACTTGTTCTCGAGGTGTTCGAACTCCTCCTTGAGAAGAATGTCGGCTTCAGTGACGTTGGCAAACACAAGGGTGACCTTGGTCTTGTCGTTAGGGTTGTTGAAAATGGCGCGAGTGAGTTGATACATGGGTGAAATTCCGGTTCCTCCCGCAATCAGAGCAATGTGGTTATGCTTGTTCTCCTCCCACTTGTATTTTGGAAGTGGTCCCTTAAAATCGAGCTCTTGGCCGACAGCCATGCTATGGATGTGGCTAGACATCGCTCCTCCCTCATATTTCTTAACCAACAGTTCCAAAAATCCCTTATCACCTGTCAATGATTAGCAAAGTCCTTGGTTCTTGTTTCGCCAAGTCCACTCACTCTCGTCGCTGGTTGGTGTGTATGGTCGAATTACAGGCTTATCCATCTGCGGCTCCTTGAACTTCGTGAGAAGTGCAGAAGCGACCTGAAGGCCGCTGACCTGGTCATCTTCTGGTAACTTGAATCTGAATTTCTTGGTATTGTGGTTGTAGTTCTCGACACTCTCCAATCTCAACCCCACCCAGCCTTGATCACCACCAGTGAAGGCACTCTTTGAGACAGCACCACTAACAGAACCAGCTGCTCCCTTGGCCTTGGCTTCCGCATCCTTTGCCGCTGATTTCACCTTCTCTACGTTATCGCCTTGGCTCATGAAGTAGTATCCGACACCGGCTACGGCCGCAGCGACACCTCCGTAGAGGGCGGTATTCGAGCTCCCACTGGTGTTCTCGGTCGCATATCGACGGTATTGCTAATTTAACAATGTGTCAGCTTTGGTGCAAAGGTTGAAGGTTCAATTGAGCTTGTAAATATTGAGGCATGGACGTAGACAAGCTATCTGCGATAACCCATCCCTACTTCACTGGTGCTCTTTTTGAGGACGGTACTTACCGATCTCATAGGCTGAGCCGCACGAAAGGCTTGTCTGGCAAACATGATTGCAATTGAGAGTTGATATTCCTCCTTGATTCAATTGCTGAGGATTTGTTGATGTCGAAAAATGAGCTTGGATGTCCCCTAATGACGTCTTTGCCGCAAGCTCTCGCATTTACACGCTAGTTCGAGCTAGGCTTATCCCCGATGCCCCTCCCAAAGCCCGCTTAGCTACCCCTTTCGGGACAACAAGCGAGACCACCGCGAGACTAAGAAGTAAATACGACGGCCAAAAGTCTAACGAAATTATTAGACTTCAATCCTGATATATATCTGTAACTATATAATAGTTTGTTTATTACCGTTATTGTAGATAGTTTTATTCTATACTAAAAAGGTCTTGTAACATCAGCTGTAATGTACTGTTTTTGTACTTTGCGTATATTTACGTAGTTCTGTTAGAACTATTCTTTACCCTGTCATTAGTCCTTTACATATATCCACGCAGTTCTATTAAAACTACTCTTTACTCTATTAATATTGCTCTTAAGATACCCTTTCGTAGGCCTTTTAAAGACCAAATATCAGGCGAACTACCTCGCCATTCCATTAATTTAAAAACATATCTACATCAATTAATACCTCTAGATATCAGGCAAATTCCACAGAAGAATAGAAACGTCCAGTTGACTAATGATGATGAATGAAATATACTGCAATGTTACGATCTAATCGCAGAGATGTTGTGATTCAACTGCTCATTTTCTAGAGCGAGGAATTGTCAATCGTCGTAACCACCCCACAACCTTTTACAAAATTCAAAGTTTCAAAATCGAGCTGAGTAATGTCTTATTACCTGAAAGCCATAGACGAAATACGATAGTTAGTCAGCCTGATTGAAGAAACATCTTGTTTCGACCGCCACTCGTCCTATTTAGAGTGGTAAATGCAAGTGACAGTTAGCCTGCTATCCACTACAAGATTTCACCACGAATCCGGTAATTTCTTAATTCCTCACAATGGTAGACGGAATACAACGTTTCGTCAATGTAATAGACGAAATATATGATAATGCGTCAACCTGTTTGAAGAAACGATGTGTTTCGGCTTTCAGCATCTTCCACGACGGAACAGCAGACTGGGAGTGGCCATGGAGGCAGCATTACCCACTTAGTTCAGGTTTTTATAACGGATCTGACAATTTCATAATGCCTGAGAATGGTAGACGAAATACGCTTATTTCGTCAACCTGATTGAAGAATCATCAGGTTTCGACTATCCACTGACTCTTGTACATCTACGATGAGCCAGGTATGATGAAGAATGTGTAAATTCATTGATTTAGCAAGCTACGCTACGTACTTTTCTTTTGCGCTCCTAATGAGATCTGATTTCATAGCAAGTCCGGAACAAATCAATCGAGTCACCTAGCTGAACCAACCACCACCACCCTCCTCACGTCTCTCACCACGTCCATCGTTGTTTCCACCGAGGAACCCACCAATGATCCCACTAACCGCCTCAGCAGCTTCGCCGAATCCATCGTCCTGTCCTTCATTGCTGTTTCTTCTTCCGCCGCTACCATATTCCTGTTGGCTACCATACTCGTTGCGGCCACCGCCATACTCCTGACGACCCTCATTGCTATCTCGACGACCACCACCATACTCCTGACGGCCTTCATTGCTATCTCTACGACGGCCACCGCCATACTCTTGACGTTGCTCGTAGGAATCCTCGCGGCGATTGAATTCCGGCTGGTTGAAGCCGCCTTGTCCGCCATAGCCTTCGAGTCTCTCATTGCTGCCACGGCGGCCACCCTGTGACTCGTTTCCATAGCCGCCACCACCTCCACCATACTGTTGACGACCTTCGTTGCTGTCACGTCGGCGGCCTCCACCGTAAGTGGACTCTTGCGTTTGCTCGTAACCTCCATGAGACTCAGTACGTCTATCGTAGCCAGACCCACTGTTTCCAGATTGCTCGTAGCTCGAATATTCAGTGCGGCGGCCCCCGTCGTTTTGTTGGGTCTCACTGTATTGTTGTTGTTCGTATCGGCCTCCTTGATGAGAGACTTGGGTGACTTTTTGCTCGTAGTCGCCTTGAGAGTTGTAGCCTTGCGAACCGTATGTCTTGGAATCATTATCACTGCTGAGAATGGAGCCCAAGATGCCTCCGGCAGCACCACCTCCAGCAAGAGCACCAACAAGGCCACCGAGGGGACCACCAGAGCTACTTTGCTTGCCGCCAGAACCGCCAGACACTGCCTGAGCAATACCACCAAGTAGATCTCCGGCAGGCCCACCGCCGCCAGCGCCACTCTTGTGCATCTTAATCGGATGTCCACAGCCGTGGCCTCCATCGTGGACGCCTTCTTTGTGGTTCTCGCCGTTCATGACGCCGTCACGTGCAAGTTTCCGTCGGTAGTCTTGTTGCTCACGTCTATCCATGTTGCCCCACCATTGCTCTACAACAGCAAACATGGCACGTCTACCATCAGATGCTCCATCTTGGCCTTGGTCTCGAAGAGTAGGATGATGAAAAACACCATTGATGATACGGGTGATGGTGCGGTCAACATCAATGTTATCGTCATCCCAAGCAGCCATAAGTTGTGGAACAGCCCATGTGAGTACTGCTGAGGCGATCTTGCCACCGGCTTCATTGAGAATCTACATGCAATTAGTAAAACTTGGTTTTGACAGGCACCAAAACAGGCCAATTTCATAACGATGTCTCAGGAGATTAAGGGTATTCTGTATGATGTGTTTGGCATTGGTCTTAAATTACCGAGAATGATAGACGAAATGTACGATTTCGTCTATCATCCTGAGCAAATGTTGTCTTTCGACTGGCCAGCTTATAACAATGTCTCAAGAGGCTAGGAGCATCCGTTACAATTCCAGTGTTGTAGACCACAGCAGCAATTGCGAAGAGGCAGGAAAAATTGACTTACGTTAGAGAAATGATCCTTTGCCAGCATAGAGTGAGTAGGATCCGAACAATCAGGATCGTTGAAAACGATCAACTGCTTATCCTTACTGCTCTGGATAATCTCGGAAGAGCCGGTGTTCAACTCATTCTTGATTTGGCGGATGATAGGGAGGACAAATGGAGCCAGGAGAGAGAAAACAAAGACGCTGATTTGTTCCTCCCTGTTGGTATGTTAGTATGACAGATTGCTGGCAGATAGATCGGAGATGAAGGAAGTAATGGCACTCACACTTGCTCAATAAGCTCTGGAAGAACCGGAATCTCCTCAATAGCATCAGAGATTGAGTGCATAATGTCGTCGTGCCATTGAATGATGGGTTTGATCTGCTGTTGAACCTCCAACATCTGCTGAGTAAATTCTTCAGGCTCCCGAGGGGACACCCTGACTTGATTCATCTGAGCAGCAGTTGCATTATCTTGCAGCTCGTCGGCTTTACCTGCTGGATCCTTGTCGCCGAAAATGCCACTGGGAATTGCGTTCAGGATGTCTTTCAGGGCGCTAGTGTCAGCGTTGCCACTTTGTTGCATAGTACCTTCAAGACTCTCAATTTCGGACTGAGTTGCCTTATCATCCATCTCTCCGCATACTGAATGTAGAAAGTCAACACCGCCGCTGAAATAACAATTAGCATATGTTTTTCTTGTTTGCTCCGGAGCGGAGAGCTATATCTAAAGATCATATATGCTCTCGACCACTAGGGAATAGAGGCTTAAGAGAAGGAATTATGAAGAGATACTGACAAGGTTCCCTATTAATGGACAGTTAGCTCTATTTAGGTTCCGTTGTTGTTTGGGATTTTTGTGGGGGGGGCAACTTACTGTAACAAGCGGGAATACAGCACTACGAGCGCCTCGTAATCGGATAGCCGTATTTTCACCGACATGAGGGAAGACATCTCGCTCGCCCATCTCGATCAATGCAAGTTCGATATAATTGCTGTGAGCGGAGTAATCTACAAATTGTTAAGCGAGGTCGGGAAAATTCTAGTAGGCCACCGCCACTTACCCTCTAGACAATGAAGGCCAGTCCCAAGTAAACGAAGTGCTTCATAAAGCTCATCTTTGTTGTTTGATCTACCATAAGATCTGCCCAGACGAATACATTCTCCGAATAATTTTCGGACGTGAAGAGCTGAGGTCATGATTCCAGCACGTTCATTGGCAATGTAATTCTTCATTCCGGTTTCTGGGTCAATGGCCAATTCAACACGTTCATCAACAAGTCCGCGAAGACGGCGGTCATATTGGGTAGCGTCGATGTTGTCAGCATAGTCCTTTGGGTTGTCAATGTGATCCTCTGGACGGTAGCAACCAAGTCTCTTGGAAGTAACTTCGAATTCTCCAGTACCATATCCGAAGGTCATGAATCCTAGAATCCAGAGCAAGATTCGAATCGCTTCTGCGCTCACATACTTGACGGTACCGACATCGATAGCTTGCGCTAAAAGTCAAAATGTTAGCAAGAGGCACACCAAATTCCACGAATTGTTTGGTATCCAGCCAACGAAACTAAAAGTAAAATTATGTAATGATTTTTTCCGTTTCCGTGCTGTAAATGCTGCTTTTGTGCCAGTAGTCTTAACTGTCTCTTGATTAGCTGATTATACTTGCTACGACAAGATCTACTTACCTCAATAAGTTTCTCATAGAACTTAGAGAGTTATTGTTTATTCATGAGAATTGACGAAATCCACTACGTTGTATATAATCGATCATCTCAATGTCGTCTCACGACTGCCACTTATCTTGTCCACCGCAAGGGGGCTGTGGTATTTTGGAGTGGCCTCGACACGCTAAGAGAGCCGAAACCACACACTGCCAGCATTTTTTCGTGGGCCATCAAGACTTCGTTCGTCTCCCCGATTATATTCGGTATAAATGGTTTTCCTCCTCGGAGTTTTCGAGGATAAAACGCGACTCATAACCAAGTCTACACCTTTCATGCTTTACGTCTTACGATCATGTACTAAGCGCAAAGGCTACGAGTCCCAGAACCGGCAGATATATGAAAGTTCGCACTCACAATAATCTCTCAACCAATTTCCAAAGTAGACGCGAGCTACATTCATCTTGCTGAATTTCTTGCCGCCCGCGGCCCGTGCCATAAAAAGCTTGAGGAGGGTATCTTCGATGTCGCCATGACGCCCTGTTGGTATGTTAGTATGGCAGATTGCTGGCAGATAGATCGGAGATGGAAAAAGGGAGAGGCACTCACAGTTGACACCTTCAACTTTAGAAACGGATCCGATATTTCCTGCTCCAAAGGCATGAGCTGGTCTGGCCAGATAGAGGATGATAGCGATGGTGAGGATCGTGGTTGATGCACTGAAAGTCGGCATCGTGACGGTTGTGTTGTTCGATAGGCTGGAAGTAATGAAGCTCTACACAGCCTTTTGTGTAGAATAAATTTGTGGTTAGTGGGGTGGTTCTTGTAGGTGAGGTAGCTGAGCTGCCAAACTGGTTTTGCTGAACCGCTTGAGGATGGTGGGGTCGTATGGCAATCTGTAACATCAAAGACCCAGTAGTGAATGCCAAGAGGATGTGATTGTAAGCTGTGAGCCAGCCAGTGGAGGGGTATGCAGGAGAGTTGTGTCAGATCCCCGAGTTTGTATGCGAATCAATGCTTCTTTTTGAAGGTCACCATGCACGTGTTTTTGAATCAAAATAGCAATTTTTCATTTGGAATATGGAGTTCTAATAAAAATATATTATTTAAGATGGTAAAATCACGATAACATTCGGTGAGCGTTGGTTCCATTGCTTTCAGTCTGATAGAGGGGTCCTCAAAGTGGATACACCAGTGAGTTACTTGCTCCCAGATTCGTCAGCCTCGATCCCCTGTTCAGCTGAGAGTTGTCTTTTCAACCCCGCTGTTGACGGCATTTTCGACGTTTCGGTTAACCCTATGGTATCGCCAGAGGGAGGGGTTGGAGTTGATGTACTGAAATGGCAAGCTCTAGGCAGGCTCTATGGGGACGAAGTAAACTTCTTTTTACGTTGTGAAGGTATATATATAAGTACCCTAAACTCATATATCTCCTGCTCAGATATAATGCAATCTTTGCGTGCTTAGCTACCTATAAAGTTACCATTGGTGGCATGTTAAGGATATTTAGTCTACTAAAAAGAATGAATGTACTTCTTTTCATCTTCATCGTCTCGAATTCATCTTTCAGACAAGGTAGCCCGTTGCTCGTGCCTATGCCTAAGTGAGTCTTATGGATGTTACTCCAAAGGATGCTACGTGCTAATTTCGTAGGATGACCGCGATTGTGTAAATGGAGATATGTCTACCTAATAAGTAAATAAATACTTCACTTGTATATCCGAATGAGAATGCAAAGGCGAGAAAACCATTAATCGAGCAGACATGAATCATTCTGGCTTGACCCGATACGCTTCCTAAAAATGAAACCCTCCGTCGACCCAACAGAAGCTTTTGTAAGCTAAGCGACTGTCCTCTACCGCTGAGAGTAGATTATCAGCATGGCCCAGTGGAGGTAATACTCACTGATGTTGCGGTGTCTCTTACTGTAAGCCAGCAGTGTTCCTCTGGTCCACGGGTGTTCGGAGCTCCAACCTGTAACGGGCTCGTCGGCGGCTATTGAGGGAACTGTTCATGGGCATCTGGCGTTGCTTTCCTCGTCAGCTTCAGCTCCGCTCCACGGCCAGAGAACAAAACTTCAGGGGACACAAGCCCAGCAATTGAGACGGTGTGACAGTCAGCACCTCGTTGGCATCTCTGGCCCTTATGGGCAGCAGCAGCCCACGTCCATAGGGCTCCGATTCCGGGCTGCATCGCTAGGAGAATCGGCCAGGGACCAGACTTCTGGCGGGCTGTTTGTTGGTCGTCGCCCGGGTTCTCACAGGATTTCAAGGATCAGTTAGTGACCTGTCGAGACTGCTGTTGCGCTTTCGGCCCTGGAAGATCGCCGCGGACTGGCAGCAGATTAGCGGACGCGTTCGCTGAGGTTGGCTGGTTTTCCCATGGCGCCTAAAGGAAAAAGGCCCGGCATTTTTGGTTTAAACCCCTTCTGATCACGCCAGATGTACCGCCCACCTGCAGCAGGAAGGCCCGGATTTGGAGGTGACGGCGCGACAGAAATCAAAACAAGGCCACGCGCGCGCGCGCTGGGTGGGCACAAGACACGGTGCGAAGTCTTCGTGGGTTTGATTCGGGCGCACAGCGAAACCCTCCACCCTTTACAGAAAGACAAACTGTAAGATCTGCTGAAGTGTGTATCTTGCATCGCGCAGAAGTACTTGATTATCGGGGCACGAATAGACTTGGAGCCAAAGTGGTCGCAACTGTTCATCTGCGTTTGCTGCGTTTGCTGCCCGTCAGTGTCTCCAGCCCCAGCCGAGCCCAGCCCAGCCCCCGACCTTTCTGCTGCGGTCTTCGATCTTTGCGACGGCGACGGCCACCGTAGCGCGTCCACAGCCGAGTCAGCGACCACCCCGACTGAAAGACTCCTCAAATCCCCTCAACTCTAGGCTTCGTCACCTAACATCTACACCCCGAATCCCACCATCATCACTGAACCATCAACATCCATCACAACACCATGGCCAAAGCGAAGAAGTCTGCCGAGAAGGTCGTCAGCGACCAGTTGACTATCGACGTCAACGCGTATATCCGCACCAGAGACTCGGTAAGAACGCCTTTCATTCTCCCATTTGTCTTCATTCCTCGTCGTCTTCCTTGGGAGAAATCTCAGACTTCACGCGCCGCATGGTTGAAAATATTCAATTGCGCTCATTGCTGGAGATCATATCACCGCCACTATCACTGGAAGCTCTTCCCCGCATCCAGACCTCAACACCGACCAGCCTGACAACATCGCTGCATTCAAATCCTTCTGCGCATATTGACGCGATTGCGATTTGGTGTCTTTTGCGCTTGCGACTTCACACGGGAAGCTCTGCACGTACGCGCTTTTATTGTTTACATTCTTCGCGTCTTCACATAATGCCTCGATCCAAGCCTAAGCTTGACATCCACAAGGACTTTCTCTTGGAGCAATCACTAATTTTGGGAAAGGTCGTCACCGGTCTCGCGACTCTCCAGGATGCGATCCAAACTCTCTCGAGCGCATACATCAAGCACACCAATGCCATTCTTGGGGATCATGCGGGGCAAGCTGAGATTGACTCCAGCTTGAGCAAGCTGGGCGACAACCCTGCGCTTCTAGGAGACCTCCAGCGCGCTCCCAGCCCAGCGACGAAGCTGCTCGCGCCCGCCAGTGTCGACGCAGCGGCAGACAAGAAAGAGCGCAAGAAGAGGATGCATGATCCTAACGCGCCCAAACGCCCTCTCACTCCGTTTTCCTCTACATGCAAACGGCGAGACCAATCATCTCCAATGATCTTGGACCAGACTTT